GGGTCATTTTACATGGAAATGACCTAAACCAACCGTACCACCCACAGGGTCTCCCAGAGATGGCCGAGCAGAGGGCGCAGGGGAGTGGGGGCGTCTGGGCGAGAGGGGTGTTGGGCTGGAGGTTTTGAGGGTGTTCCATGGGAACGCGAGCAGCGCGGATACAGGGCGGGTGGGCCTGGCCCCTCTCTGGCCCTGGCAGTAGGGGTTCACAGACAGACAAGTGACCCCTGGAGACCCGGAGTTGTGATTACACCCCGCGCCGCTACAATAACACACACATCTATGTTGTATAGCAGCAGAACTACTGGTTTTTCTGCTTTTTGTTTGGCTCCGTTTCCTTGTTTTCAAGAGGAAGGAAACCAACCATTCTCTGTGGAAACATTCTGCTGTCCTTTTTAAATGTCTCTCAATGAATTAGAGGGACATTCAATCTGCATACTGTGAGAAAGAAAAGTCAGCATTCATTAGCTTACATACAGTTTCTCTAAAGTCTAACTCAAATGACAAGATCACAAGTCTTTTTTTTTTTTTTAAGGAGAAATAACCGGAGCAGTGAGGCTGCTTCATATGCATGTGAAGCTCTCTGGTATGTCTGAGTGTTGAGGATAGTGAGATGACGTGCTGTACTGCTGTGAGTGCGTTGGCAGGTATTTGGCTCAGGTCAGTCGGGGGCTCTCTGGGGTCACCACGGTTTCCTAGTGTGTCAGCTGTAGCCATGAGGACGTGTCAGTTTGTCAGTGTGGTGAGCAGAGAGGGAGAGGGGCAGAAGTGTCATGGTCACTGAATCAGCCTCACCCCCCCCCCCCCCCCCCACCGGATATCCCCTCTGGAGGGAAGAACCCAACCCAACACTATTCCTGTTGAATGGAAACCTTTTACTGACTGACTATGCATGCATTGAGACTTCCATTGTGGTTTCTTTGATATCGCCATTTAATTGCCGGTCGTTAACCCCATCACGTAATCTCTAGCAGAAGTCAGTTACTTCACAAATCATTGAGCTTTGACTATCACCCCCTCCCCTCCCCCCCATCCCTTTTATTGATCCAGTTACAAAGGAAGGGTATATTACTTAACTTTCAAAGTTTACCAGTAAACTACCAACATTTTTGTATCTTTTCAAGGATTTTATGTATTTTAGCACACAACATCTAGTGGCCCTTTAGGGTACTTCAGATTTTTACAGGTGTATGTAATTATCTCTGGTAAACTACCGATAGGTTTACAATCGTACTAGAAACCCAACCCTGGGAAGTGGAACCCCTCAAAGAGAAGTAGAGGTGAAAGTTAAAGATTGTGTGTGAAGTCTCAAAGATGGGCAGAGTGAGTCTTGAGTCTCTCTGAGTGAGTCTTGAGTCTCTCTGAGTGAGTCTTGAGTCTCTCTGAGTGAGTCTTGAGTCTCTCTGAGTGAGTCTTGAGTCTCTCTGAGTGAGTCTTGAGTCTCTCTGAGTGAGTCTTGAGTCTCTCTGAGTGAGTCTTGAGTCTCTCTGAGTGAGTCTTGAGTCTCTCTGAGTGAGTCTTGAGTCTCTCTGAGTGAGTCTTGAGTCTCTCTGAGTGAGTCTTGAGTCTCTCTGAGTGAGTCTTGAGTCTCTCTGAGTGAGTCTTGAGTCTCTCTGAGTGAGTCTGAGACTGACAGAGAGAGACTGAGAGTACGATAGGGGAAATAGAGAGAGTAAAGGAGGGGGGTGTAACAGCAGGAGAGTAAATTCTTTGAGCCCAGCCCACTAGATACCACAATACCAGGGTAGGAGCGAGCGAAGGAGTGTTAAATGACTGTGTGTTTAGAGCTCTGCAATCATCCAGAGACGAGCACAGCTGATGTGTGGATTACCACAGCTTTTCTCACTGGAGCTGTTTTTGGAAAATGGTGGGCTTTCTTCTTCTTCAGCTGTTGAAGCCGGTAAGCAACCATATCGACTGCATGCTTGTATTATACTGTCTTGGCAGCCACTCTCTTAGTGGGTTGTGTGGGTTGTGTTTGTCCCAGTCTCTCAAGACTGTAACATTTGAATTAGAGATGGATGTCCGTGTGTAGATCATGTGATCAGTCTTATGGCTGGTTCAACAGAGTACTGGATCTCCACTTCCTGACGATGTATTGATGTTTTCTCAATTAATTATCTCAGAAAGTTGCCCTAATTACTTTTGGACAGTTATGTTTTGATAACATTACTACACAGATCATACACGTAACGCTAGCGAGCCAGCTAGCCAGACAGCTAACGTTAGCTAGCTAGCTAACAGTATGCTTTAACTTGCAATGAAAACAACTTTCTGACTAAATTTGAAACGTATAATATCTGAAAATGTAGCTAGCAAGACTCTCTTACCCATACACATGGATGAACGCTTCTCCCTCTCTGTCACGGATGCCACGGTTGCCCTTAGTTTGAAGATGTAATCCAGACAGGTGTTTTCTACAACAGCCTTCTGTGTTCTCTTTTCGACTCCCTCCGCATTTGCAATCAAATGCCTGAATTGTCTGTCTCCTTAGCTATCATACTCTGTTTCCACTGGGCATTCCACTGATTTTAAAACTCGGTCCTTCAGAAAGTGGAGAGCCTTAGCAACAGTTGTGCAGTTCTTCGGGATATCTTTCAAAAAAGCCGCTTTAGAAAGGATTACCTAATACATACTAAGCAGCTCATGGTATAGACCGAAGCATGCTACATGGCAGACCAATCCGAACTCATCTCTCGGCATTTCCAGCCCATCCATTATCTCAGCCAATCATGGCTAGCGGGAAGGTTCCTGTCTTTTTCCGTGGCTAAACCAACTAGGCTTGTAATTTAACAATTTTATTAGTATTTACAGATGGCATACATGTTTTGTTTTTAAGGCACATGAAAGTTCACATGTTCCAGAAGGCATTTCTGCCAAGAAAATGCATTTTGATTAAAAAAATGTTTAAATGCCTCTCCTGTGAAGTAGTGACGAGTGACATATGCCTAGTTTCCTGAAACATCTTGATGCCTGCCGTGTTTCTCTGGATAGCTGTGTTTTGACTTTTGCTGTTCCCATAGAAGGAGCCTTTCTGACAGTGTTTTAAAGTTCTTATAAAAAATCTTGTTAACATTCTCTCCAGTCAATTTTTACAAGGTCCTTCACACATACAAATATAATTTTACGACCGCATCTGGTGTTGTTACTTGCTGGAGTTCTGTAATGTTAATTTAATAAGGTTCCTTTTGTCTTCTATGGTATTATTACTTGAATGTTTCCTCAACTGTTCCAATAAGCTGGCCAGGCAACCTCTGACTTTCTGACCACCCCAGATGTTGCGGCACCCCACTTCTAAACAACACTCTAACTGGACTGTATTCAGAGGGTTGTGAAATCATCTGAAATCATAGTGGTTGTGTTTGGTGCTGAACTTGTTTACGCTTGTTTGAGAAGTAAGAGTTTTATGGTGTTATTATAGAGTAACTTCTGCAAAAGCAGGAAGCCAAGAGAGCAGACATTTTCCAATGGGATTCTGAGAGGTCATGACTGTGCTAACAACCTTACAGTTAGACTTGTTTCTACATGAAGACCTCTGCTCACAAAGCACTTCAGGTCTACTCTCTGAAGCTGCTCAGTTTGTTGCTGTAAGACATGGTGAAGGTCCAGTGGGTGGAGAAATTAAACACTTAGACCGGCAGGTTGTTTGATCTGCTATGAGCAGAGATAAAGACAACAACCTTCAGCACTAAAGCAAAAGAAACAGGCCCATATTGTAGTGAATACTCTAGACCAGGAAAAACATATCTCAGTTCCAGAGAACTCAAAGAAAAACAGATCTACACAGTAATCAGGGTCTCTTCCCTACGTGTGTGTGATGCTCCTCTCCAGGGGAGACCCAGTGCCTGGTGGTACTGCAGTCTCTCAGCACCAGGAATGCCCCAATACAGATAAGAGAAACTGAGAGAAATAACTAATCACCAGGGGAGCTGTTAAAAATATGTTTCTGTGTAATTAAATGGTCCTGTCATGGGTTTGCGGGTGCTGTGTTGGGACCCTCTCATCACAATGCCAGGAAGATGGGTTGATAAATCAAATATCAAATCAAATGTTATTGGTCACATACACATATTTAGCAGATGTTATTGCGGGTGTAGCGAAATGCTTGTGTTCCTAGCTCCAAAACGTGCAGTAATATCTAACAATTGAGTTTTACATGTGGAAACCATTTTGTCTTGAGGTTGATATGTGGAAAGTCATCCAAAATGTGGAGTTCCCTTTCTTTGGACACTGTTGAGTTCTGTAGGGATTGACATTAGCTAAGGGTTGCTCTATTGTCCGGGGCAAGGGACCTGAGCAGTTCCGCAAGTTCAGTCTGAATGCAAAGAATTCCAGTAGTCTGGTCCTTCTGGGTCCTCTCCGGGGTGTAGGTCAATACTTTCAATTTCCGGGCAAGTGATCATAGGGCATCTAAGGGCAACAACAACATACTCCTGACTTGCCCAATGGGAGAGTGCCTTTCAGACCGTAATGTCAATCCTTGGTTCTGCTTTCGTGACTGGCTGATGAAACCCTATCACACCTGTTTATTGCATTAAGCCGCCATATCCCACATTTATTATGATTTTTTTCTGGGTTCTTCCAGACACAGGCCGATATAACCAGATGTTTGAGGTCAGCTCCACCCATAACCACTTCTGTTGTCAGCACAGTTGGTCCATGAATAGGGCCTCAACATATTATGTAGCTGTCTGAGTGTTGCGTTGGAATGCAAAAGTTGGTCATTAATGAACTAAACCCTCATACTTGTCTTTTCATACTAGCACTGTCTTTGCTGAAAGCTACTTTATTGAGGAAAAAATGGACTTGCTATGACTGTCTGTGATACGTGGTTGTCTCGCCTAGCTATCTATGTCACATCTGCTAAATGGCTAAAATGTAAAATTCATGACATGCCATCACCATTGATAGATTTGCTCAGTAATTGACATATTGTACAATCACTTGAAACTGTCACTCATGTTTCAGACATGACCTGTGTTGTTGTTCTCTCCCCGCAGCGATGGAGCACCTGGTGAGTGAGCTGAACATGCTGCTGAAGCTGCTGGACCATGAGAGTGTGAGCACGGCCACAACGGAGAAGATGAGCGCGGTCCGGAGGCTGCTGGGGCAGCTGCAGCCATCAGGTGTGTGTGTGTGTGTGTGTGTGTGTGTGTGTGTGTGTGTGTGTGTGTGTGGAGAGAGGGCAGGGAGAGAGGGCAGGGAGAGAGAGAGGGCAGAGAGAGAGAGAGGGCAGAGAGAGAGAGAGAGAGCAGAGAGAGAGAGCTATCAGATAGAGAGAGTAGAGAGAGCATCTCTCTAGCTAGCTCATATCTATCTCCTATCTCTCGCGCTCTCTCTCTCTCTTATCGCTCTCTCTCTCTCTCTCGCTCCTGCTCTCTCTTCTCTCTCTCTCTCCTCTCTTCTCGCTCCCTCTCTTCTCTCTTCTCTTCTCTCTCTCGCTCTCTCTCGTCTCTGCTCTCTCTTCCTCTCTCTTCTCTCTCTCCTCTCGCTCTCTCTCTCTCTCTCTCTCTCTCTCTCTCTCTCTCTCTCTCTCTCGCTCTCTCTCTCCTCTCTCTCTCTCTCTCTCTCTCTCTCTCTCTCTCTCTCTCTTTCTCTCTCTCTCTCTCTCTCTCTCTCTCTCTCCTCTCTCTCTCTCTCTTCTCTCCTCTCTCTCTCTCTCTCTCTCTCTCTCTTTACTTGATGGAGAGGAGAGAGACTTTACTTTACATTCTTTTCTCTGTTAAAGTGAATGGATCAGACTTCACATACATGAACACTTCCCTTTACGGAAATGGCACCAGCTTTGTGGAATCCCTGTTTGACGAATTTGGTGAGTTAAATATCAAATCTGTATTATTTCATATGAAAGAATAATTACTTTCTAGACAATACTAGTATAGAGTAACAAATGATATAATCAGTCATTCTTAAAATATTCTTAAATGATTTGTATATTCCATTGTCCCAACAGACCTGCATGAGCTCAGAGCCTCCCCAGAAGAACTCAAGGAACAGGTAGAGGAGGAAATCTCCAATATACCGCCGTCGAAAGTAAGAGGCATTTTGACAATACTGTATAATTGCATCATAACTTTGTTTATAACACATTTGTTATTGAATTTGTCCTACCTTTAACCCTTTCCCCCAGAGTCCCACTGACACCCCCCCTCCTCTGCCAACCCCCCCTCCTCTGCCAACCACCCCTCCTCTGCCAACCACCCCTCCTCTGCCAACCACCCCTCCTCTGCCAACCACCCCTCCCCCAGAGGACTATTATGAGGAGGCTGTGCCCCTGAATCCAGGCACGGTGACCCAATACATCACCACCAACATCACCACACGCAGTGAGTACTCAGTCACACATCCACATCACCACACGCAGTGAGTACTCAGTCACACATCCACATCACCACACGCAGTGAGTACTCAGTCACACATCCACATCACCACACGCGTGAGTACTCAGTCACACATCCACATCACCACACGCAGTGATACTCAGTCACACATCCACATCACCACACGCAGTGAGTACTCAGTCACACATCCCATCACCACACGCAGTGAGTACTCAGTCACCACATCCACATCACCACACGCATGAGTACTCAGTCACACATCCACATCACCACACGCAGTGAGTACTCAGTCCACACATCCACATCACCACACGCAGTGAGTACTCAGTCACACATCCACATCACCACACGCAGTGAGTACTCGTCAACATCACACCCACACGCAGTGAGTACTCAGTCACACATCCACTCACCACCGCAGTGAGTACTCAGTCACACATCCACATCCCCACACGGTCAGTGAGTACTCAGTCACACATCCACATCACCACACGCAGTGAGTACTCAGATCACACATCCACATCACCACCCGCAGTGAGCACTCAGTCACACATCCACCATCACCACACGCAGTGAGTACTCAGTCACACATCCACATCACCACACGCAAGTGAGTACTCAGTCACACATCCACATCACCACCACGCAGTGAGTACTCAGTCACACATCCACATCACCACACGCAGTGAGTACTCAGTCACACATCCACATCACCACACGCAGTGAGTACTCAGTCACACATCCACATCACCACACGCAGTGAGTACTCAGTCACACATCCACATCCCCACACGCAGTGAGTACTCAGTCACACATCCACATCACCACACGCAGTGAGTACTCAGTCACACATCCACATCACCACACGCAGTGAGTACTCAGTCACACATCCACATCACCACGCAGTGAGCACTCAGTCACACATCCACATCACCACACGCAGTGAGTACTCAGTCACACATCCACATCACCACACGCAGTGAGTACTCAGTCACACATCCACATCACCACACGCAGTGAGTACTCAGTCACACATCCTCCTCACCGTCAACTATTAATAACCACTTGAACTCACTGTGCATACTCGGTACACATTTTACATTTACATTTTAGTCATTTAGCAGACGCTCTTATCCAAAGCGACTTACAGTTAGTGAGTGCATACATTTTTCATACTGACCCCCCGTGGGAAACGAACCCACAACCCTGGCGTTGCAAGCGCCATGCTCTACCAACTGAGCTACAGGGGACTACACAACACAGGAGACTTGAGGGGAGGACGGCTCATAATAATGGCTGGAATGGAGTGACTGGAACGGTATCAAGCACATGCTGCGTTTGTGTCAATACCATTCCATCCATTCCGTTCCAGCCATTACTATGAGCCCGTCCTCCCCAGTTAAGGTGCCACCAGCCGCCTGTGCTACACACTCTTATTGTTGGGTGACCACTAATCCGTTACCTATTCATAACTACCTATCCATAACCACCTGAACTCAGTGTCCATACACACGACACACTCTTATTGTTGGGTTACCTCTAATCTGAATTCTCTGTCCCCTGCTTCCTTCTAGTCAGCTCAAGTCCCCCAAATTCCATTGAAGATGCATATTATGAGGATGCTGACAACAACTACCCCACCACCCGACTCAATGGACCGCACAAGAACTCATGTGAATATGAATGAAATCATGGCACCCTGTTGAGATGAATGTGTACTTGATGGTACATTTGCGTGTTTTGAGGGGAGGAGGAACCTTCTTATCCGTTATCCTTTGTTGTTTTCCAGACGCTGATTCCGATGCGCTGAGCAGCTCCTATGAGTCGTATGATGAGGAGGATGAGGAGGCGAAGGGTCAGGACAGGACTAGTCGGCAGTGGCAGTCAGAGGAAAACTCTGCGGGCCCCATGAAGGACTGTCGTATCTGCGCCTTTCTGCTGCGCAAGAAACGCTTCGGCCAGTGGGCCAAACAGTTGACGGTCGTCCGTGACAACAGATTACAGGTAGGGCGACTGGGCCTTTTCTGCGGTCTGTTGAATGTGTTTATTATTAAAGTTTTATTTTACATCAGGCCTGATCTAATTGAGACACATTTAGATATTAGGAGTGATATGCAGTAAAGTATTTAAAAGTCACTTGTAGTATAAAAAAAAAAAAACTACTGTGTATCTTCCTCTGCAGTGCTTCAAGAGCATCAAAGACAGAAGCCCTCACATTGAGCTGCCGCTGAACCTGTGTAACGTCATCTACGTTCCCAAAGAGGCGCGCCGCAAGAAGCACGAGCTGCGTTTCTCCCTGCCTGGGGGAGAGGCCTTGGTGCTGGCTGTCCAGAGTAAGGAGCAGGCGGAGCGATGGCTCAAGGTGATCCGGGAGGTGGCCAGTCAAGCCAGCAGCAGTGATGGATTAGAGGGCTCGTCATCTCCAATGATCCAGAGAAAGATAGAGCTGGACAAGGTGGGTCTCCCTTCAGTAACCCTGCTAGATACCAGACTCACCCTATAGGCCTGTAACCCAACAAAGACCTCTGGGTCTGCACTGCCCAGACCCTATGGGCCCCTCGTCCTGTTTTACTCAAACTGACTCCAACAATCTGGGACAGCTATGATTCACATCCACATACTGCACATCACCATGCTACAGTAAATAACCAGACAGAATGAAAACAGTTCAGTAAATAACCAGACAGAATGAAAACAGTTCAGTAAATAACCAGACAGAATGAAAACAGTTCAGTGAAGAGACGGACAGGTCAGACAGACATCTTCCCTGTTTGACTGTGAATAGTCTAGCAATCAGCAACTGAAACTCCACATAGAGGAAAACGGAGCAATTTTATTATAGCCTAAATGTCTGGCTTTGGACAGACGGACTGTGGAACCCATTTCAGGATTATTCTAAGACGGTAATGTTTTTTCAAGCAGTGTACCACAGTGTATGTCCTAGCAGGAAGTCTTTCTCTCATTGCAGTGTCTGTGTGTGTGTGTGTGTGTGCGTACATGGATGTGTGTGTGTGTGTGTGTGCGTACATGGATGTGTGTGTGTGTGTGTGTGTGTGTGTGTGCCCCCACTAACCTAATTATCCCCCCCCCCCTCTCCCCTCTTCTGTCTAGTTACTAGGAGCTGACAAGCACACCTCTGACTCTGACAGTGTGGCCACTGGTGACAACCTGCCCTCTGGTCAACTCCGTGACAACTGTGAAGGTTAGGCCACAATCTGCCTCAACATACCTGAACCTCCCTGGGTGTCTGGTTTCTTCTGTTCTACTGTTCTACTGTAGCTTTGTGTTTACTCGTCTGCATTCTGATAGTTCCAACGCTGTGAAAGACCACTTTTAGATACTCGATGTAAGGAGGATCCTTATTTTTTTTATTTTAGAACCATTTTTAAACTGTGAGGCACAGGCCCAAGCAGATGGAAATCAAGCACTACGTAGGGCAGTGGATTTGTCACCCTGAAAACATAATGAATGAGAAAGTAAAGTGATCCATGTTCTTGAGTCAGAAGAGGGGTAAACGTTTTGGATGTTTTACCTAAAGCACATAAAAGACAGAGGAAGTGGGGCCCGGAGAAGAACCATCCTTCCTGCCCTCTTCCTGCCTTTGTCTCACAATGACATCATAGGACATACGTACACAGGGCAGAGAGGTAGCGCCTGGTCGACGGGGCACTGCGACTTCAAAACAAAAAATGTTGAAGCACAGAACTACATTTGCCTACATTGTTTGATTGCCAATAGAGTGTGCCACATTGGAACGTGAGCTTCCAGTAAATAGCTAACTTAAACAGGCCCTACATGATCTAGTAAATTACTGTTTTGTAATCGACTCTGTGCTGACTCCGGTGTGTTTCTGTTCAGGGAAGGGGAAGAGGGGGGCGTTTTCAGAGCTGACGGGGTCTATGAGCAGAGCGGCTGGACGGAAGATCACCAGGATCATCAGTTTCTCTAAGAAGAAGCCTCCTCTCCCAGGAGACACTCTGTCCTCCTACCACCATGACGACAACCCCCGCTGTGGTGAGCACCGTGCATCCATGCCATATTTGACATATTTATCCCTCAGTCGTAATCTCTGGGCTGGTATTTAGGCTTAATGATCAGTTCTCTGCGGTATGTTACTACTTGTCTTTTGTCTTCCCACCTTTTAGAAGCTGTTATTTTCATTTTTACTGCTTCATATAATTACCTTTTTATGGAAAGTATTTATGTATTCCAATCCCCCTGTCCCCAGGTTATCTGAATCTACTGGTGAGGCAGTGTTGGAGGGAGAGATGGTGCTGTGTAAGGAGTGGAACACTGTACCTTCACAAAGACCGGGGTGACCTGCGTACCCACGTCAGCGCTGTGGTCCTCCATGGGGCTGAGGTCGTACCTGGACTAGGGCCCAAGCACCCCTTCGCCTTCCGCATCCTGCAAGGAGGCAACGAGGTGGCTGCCTTGGAGGTATGTGTGTGTATATGTAGCCCAATGTGTGACATTTTCTCCCCTATTACAGACATAAATCTCTTGACCAGTCTCTCCGGTCTGTCTCGTGGGTTCTAGTCCCCTTTGGGATCAGTGCCATGTGGTGATTGATGTAAGTGTCTGTGTGTGTGTACAACAGGCCAGCTGTTCAGAAGAGATGGGCCGCTGGCTGGGGGTTTTGCTGGCAGAGTCTGGCTGCGCCACCACCCCAGAGGCCCTGCACTACGACTATGTAGACGTGGACACCATCACTAGCATCACAGACGCAGCAAGACACTCCTTCCTGTGAGTCTTGAGGCTGGGGTAATTTCCAAATATTTCCAAATAAATTTTTAAGGGGAGTACATTTCTAATGCCAGACGGCGTCAATGCTTATGTCTCTTTCCATCCTCTTCCTGTCCCATAGATGGGCTACCTCATCCAGCAGCGCCTCCACAGACTCCAGAACCTATGACGAGGTTCCTTATGAGAGCATATTGGTAGGAGATACAAATACTAAACATGATTTAACTTGTCATAAGTTGACACATTATAATGACACTTGAATTTCATTTCATTTTGAAAGGTGGAAAGCTCCACACCCTTTTCTAGTGGGTAGGAAATCACATTTCAAGAAAAACTGGTTAACCAAACCCTATCGGCTGTGCATGAGACGGCAATATATCAACAACCTCTTCACTGTAGAAGAAACCCAGGCTTCCTTTGGTTGAGATTTACATCTAATGAATCCCCAACTCTGTGTTCACACACCATAACTGCAGCTGGAGTCCTAAGGATCCAGTTGATGAATGATCTGTTCCTACATCCTCCCATATCTCTCCACAGAATCAGGGAGTCGCAGGCCTTTTTATTCTAGAGCAGTTTGAAGGCCGGCTGAATGCCGATAGGCTCCTCTGTGGGTATGTGGGAGGGTAGATAGCGCTCCAGGGATGAGTTCTGATGAGCGTCTTTCAGAGCAGTAAGGAACAGATCGAAATGTACTGAGCGGAGGTGTGGTCCAAAATAGGGAAGGGTTGTCAAACTATTTTTCTTGCTTTGGGGAGGTTGTGTGTTTTTTATTATGGGGCACAGGGGAGAGTAGTGTGTTTTTTTTGGGAGGACATGGGAGGGTAGTGTGGTTTTTGGGAGGACATGGGAGGGTAGTGTGTTTTTTTCCCTGGTTTACATTCACTCTCCTGCTTGTATTTTCCCTATAAACAACGGCTTGACTTACTTTTGATATTACCCTAATGAAGGTTAGAAACATTTGTGAAGGTTTGGTATGGTGTGGCTATTATGAAGCTTTAGATACTGCAGGCCTATGATGAAGGCAGTGAGCCCAGGCGCTCCAACTGACTCCCACAGTTGGACTTGAGGTGAGGAAGACTGTTTCAGGACTACCAGAGTTACTCCTATAATATAATGCTTATCTTTATACAAAATATTCCGATCGAAAATGAACAAATTAGCCTCCTCCTGTACGTCTATATCTGTATAGCAGATGCAGTAGCCATCTGACATAAAGAAATGCATGTCGGTGTCGTAGCATGCCACCGGCATATCTCTATCTCCAGTGGTATAAAGTACTTAAGTAAAAATACTTTAAAGTACTATTTAAGTAGTTATTTGGGGTATCTGTACTTTACTTTTTCTATTTTTGACATTGTTTTACTTTTACTCCACTACATTCCTAAAGAAAAAAAAATAATTTTTACTCCATACATTTTCTCACACCCAAAAGTTACATTTTGAATGCTTAGCTGGACAGGAAAATGGTCCAATCCACACACTTATCAAGAGAACATCGCTGGTCATCCCTACTGCCTCTGATATGGCGGACTCACTAAACACAAATGCTTCATTTGTAAATTATGTCTGAATATAAGGGGTGTGCCCCTGGCAAAAAAAAACAAGAACATTGTGCTGTCTGGTTTGCTTAATGTACTTTTTAGACTTTTACTCAGACTTTTACTGGGTCACTTTTACGTGAGTAATTTTCTATTAAGGTATGTTTACTTTTAATCAAGTATGACAATTGGGTACTTTTCCCACCACTGTGTCTCTCTCTCTCTCTCTCTCTCTCTCTCTCTCTCTCTGGGGTTAGGCCTAAGCTTCTCTTCCTTTTATTTCTATATTCAGACCCCTTCACTTTTTCCACATTTTTTTTTTTATCCTCATCAATCTACACACTACCCCATAATGACAAAAGAAAAACAGGTTTTTAGACATTTTTGCAAATATATTACAAATAAACTGAAATGCTACATTTACATAAGTATTCAGACCCTTTACTCAGTACTTTATTGAAGCACCTTTGGCAGCGATTACAGCCTTGAGTCTTCTTGGGTATGACGCTACAAGCTTGGCACACCTGTATTTGGGGAGTTTCTCCCATTCTTCTCTACAGATCCTCCCAAGTGTTGCTGCACAGTCAGGGCTCTGGCTGGGCCACTCAAGGACATTGAGACTTGTCCCGAAGCCACTACTGCGTTGTCTTGGCTGTGTGCTTAGGGTCGTTGTCCTGTTGGAAGGTGAACCTTCGCCCCAGTCTGAGGTCCTGAGCGCTCTGGAGCAGGTTTTCATCAAGGATCTCTCTGTACTTTGCTCCGTTCATCTTTCCCTCGATCCTGACTAGTCTCCCAGTCCCTGCCGCTGAAAAACATCCCCACAGCATGACACCACCATGCTTCACTGTAGGGATGGTGCTAGGTTTTCTCCAGATGTGACGCTTGGCATTCAGGCCAAAGGGTTCAATCTTGGTTTCATCAGACCAGAGAATCTTGTTTCTCATGCCTGGCCTAACTGAGCAATCGGGGGAGAAGGGTCTTGGTCAGGGAGGTGATCAAGAACCCGATGGTCACTCTGACAGAGCTCCAGAGTTACTCTGTGGAAATGGGAGAACCTTCCAGAAGGACAACCATCTCTGCAGCACTCCACCAATCAGGCCTTTTAGGTAGAGTGGCCAGATGGAAGCCACTCCTCAGTAAAAGGCACATGACAGCCCACTTGGAGTTTTCCAACTGTGGGACCTTTATATAGACAGGTGTGTGCATTTCCAAATCATGTCCAATCAATTGAATTTACCACAGGTGGACTCCAATCAAGTTGTAGAAACATCTCAAGGATGATCAATGTAAACAGGATGCACCTGAGCTCAATTTTGAGTCTCATATCAAAGGGTCTGAATACTTATGTAAATAAGGTACTTTTTTTGTTTTATGTTTTTTTTGCAAAGATTTCTAACAACCTGTTTTCGCTTTGTCATTATTGGGTATTGTGTGTAGATTGATGAGGAAAATGTGTATTTAATCAATTTTAGAATAGGACTGTAACGTAACAAAATGTGGAAAATGTTAAGAGGTCTCTCATACAGTGGACACCTAAGCCTATAGGCCTTTGCATGCAATGCCCTGATACATTTAGTGGTGAAATCTCTGATAGTTGAACCGTGAGGCGGACAATTATTATTTTAGGAACGTAGCCCAAAAATATATTTTAAAAAATTGGCTATAGTTTTACATTTTCTACACATCAAAACACAAGGAATAGTATTTTTGTAATTTGCTATAGGCTGTTTTTAAGGACACGTAAATGTGGCTCATTTTGCCAACATCCCTCGTTTATTGATGTTGCTGGCTGCACCAGGCTAGATCTGAATGCATATGGATGTCCATTACATTTCTCAAATGTCCGATAAATTTAAATCTTCCCTGTCATGTTGTCCGGCGCTAAATTCTCCTAAAAGAAACTCTGAAATGGCAAATTGTTTTTATGAAGATTTTTGAATATTCACTTGAAAACCTGTCGCCAATTGGATGGAAACCTAGCTATAGACTCCCTAAAGACTCTGGCAACTCACTAGTCCAGTGTCACCTTGATTATGCCTGCACATCATGGTTCACCAGCAGCCCCAAACGTCTAAAGAATAAGCTTCAGACTAGGGTTGAATAAGCTACCAGCCAAACAAACTTGTAAGAATTGTAATTAAACTCCCCCCTTATACTCATCTGGAGGTTGAGCATTTTCTCATCTCTCTTTCTGTAATGTGTCTGTATCTATGTAATTGTATATGTACAGTGGCTTGCGAAAGTATTCACCCCCCTTGCCATTTTTCCTATTTTGTTGCCTTACAACCTGGAATTAAATGGATTTTTTTGGGGGGGGGTTGAATCATTTGATTTACACAACATGCCTACCACTTTGAAGATGCAAAATATTTTTTTGTGTGAAACAAACAAGAAATAAGACAAAAAACAGAACTTGAGCGTGCATAACTATTCAATAGTCAATACTTTGTAGAGCCACCTTTTTCAGCAATTACAGCTGCAAGTCTCTTGGGGTTTGTCTCTATAAGCTTGGCACATCTAGCCACTGGGATTTTTGCCCATTCTTCAAGGCAAAACTGCTCCAGCTCCTTCAAGTTGGATGGGTTCCGCTGGTGTACAGCAATATTTAAGTCATACCACAGATTCTCAATTGGATTGAGGTCTGGGCTTTGACTAGGCCATTCCAAGACATTTTAAATGTTTCCCCTTAAACCACTCGAGTGTTGCTTTAGCAGTATGCTTAGGGTCATTGTCCTGCTGGAAGGTGAACCTCCGTCCCAGTCTCATCTCTGGAAGACTGAAAGATTTCCCTCAAGAATTTCCCTGTATTTAGCGCCATCCATCATTCCTTCAATTCTGACCAGTTTCCCAGTCCCTGCCGATGATGCTGCCTCCAACATGCTTCACTGTGGGGATGGTGTTCTCGGGGTGATGAAAGGTGTTGGGTTTGCACCAGACATAGCGTTTTCCTTGATGGCCAAAAAGCTCAATTTTAGTCTCACCTGAGTACCTCCTTCCATATGTTTGGGGAGTCTCCCACATGCCTTTTGGCGAACACCAAACGTGTTTGCTTATTTTTTTCATTTAGCAATTTTTTCTGGCCACTCTTCCATAAAGCCCAGCTCTGTGGAGTGTACTGCTTAAAGTGGTCCTATGGACAGATACTCCAATCTCTGCTGTGGAGCTTTGCAGCTCCTTCAGGGTTATCTTTGGTCTCTTTGTTGCGTCTGATTAATGCCTGGTCCATGAGTTTGTTGTGGTGCCATATTCTTTCCATTTTTTAATAATGGATTTAATGGTGCTCCGTGGGATGTTCAAAGTTTCTGATATTTTTTTATAACCCAACCCTGATCTGTACTTCTCCACAACTTTGTCCCTGACCTGTTTGGAGAGCTCCTTGGTCTTCATGGTGCCGCTTGCTTGGTGGTGCCCCTTGCTTAGTGGTGTTGCAGACTCTGGGGCCTTACAGAACAGGTGTGTATATATACTGAGATCATGTGACAGATCATGTGACACTTAGATTGAACACAGGTGGACTTTATTTAACTAATTATGTGACTTCTGAAGGTAATTGGTTGCACCAGATGTTATTTAGGGGCTTCATAGCAAAGGGGTGAATCCATATGCACGCACCACTTTTCCGCTTTTTATTTTTTTGAAATCTTTGAAACAAGTTATTTTTTTCATTCCACTAAACCAATTTGGACTATTTTGTGTATGTCCATTACATGAAATGCAAATAAAAATCAATTTAAATTACAGGTTGTAATGCAACAAAATAGGAAAAACGCCAAGGGGGATGAATACTTTTGCAAGGCGCTGTACTTCTGTAAAAAATAGGGACTAGGATGGAAATAAATATAATAATTTCCCGATCACTTAAAAACATATTTGTGTACTGTAGATATTTATTATTAAAGCTGACAAATAAAATCAATCAATCCAAACTGTGCAGCGGACAATTGATGAATGGAAAGAGACATCTGTTACAAAACACCAAAACGTTTAATGACATTCGGAGATTGTCAAGCCAAGCCTTCGATACTGGGTAAGTCTACAAGGTAGGGAGGGATGTTTTTTCTGTTTGTCCAGATTGACAGTCTATTTATTGTGGTGTTGAAAAAGCAAACCATGATAATGAAGTGGCTGAAGTCGGTATGCTTTGTTTATTGGTTGTGTTGTGTATTGGCATAGAAACCTGTTGGTGGAAAATGTTGCATATATTTTATAGAATTATAGATATGGCATCAAAATGTTGAAAATCTGATTTCCCCCCTAGCTGATCATTGTCTGCAGCCGGCTCTGATCGTAGTGTAATGAAACAGGCAGGGAGCGTGAGCTCGTCTGTGGTGGTCAGAGAACCCTCAACATTCTGGCCCGTAGCCCTGCGTGGCATCAACTGTACCACAAAAGCATGCTGGAGTGGCAAAGTCGATATCCACGTTTATTAACACAGGGTCGCTACAGTTCTAATTTTTGGCTGTAAACATTATTTTGAGTTAATTCTATGAGGGGGGAGGGTATTCCATTTATTTTACAGTCCAAGAGGAGGGTCGTGAAAAATATTTTTTTTATGTTGGGGAGGGGGGTGCATTTCTTCTTTTTTTTTGACAACTTGAGTTGGACCAGCCCCTTCCCTGCTCTTCCCTGCTCTACCCTTCCCTGCTCTACCCTACCCTGCTCTTCCCTTCCCAGGTCTATCCTTCCCTGCTATTCCCTTCCCTGCTCTATCCTTCCCTGCTTTACCCTACCCTTCCCTGCTCTTCCCTTCCCTGCTCTATCCTTCCCTGCTTTACCCTACCCTTCCCTGCTCCTCCCTTCCCTGCTCTTCCCTTCCCTGCTCTTCCCTTCCCAGCTCTAACTTTCCCTGCTCTTCCCTGCTTTACCCTACCCTTCCCTGCTCTTCCCTTCCCTGCTCTATCCTTCCCTGCTTTATCCTACCCTTCCCTTCTCTACCCTTCCCTGCTTTATCCTACCCTGCTTTATCCTACCCTGAACTACCCTTCCCTGCTTTATCCTACCCTGCTCTACCCTTCCCTGCTGTACCCGACCCTGCTCTACCCTGCTTTATCCTACCCTGGACTACCCTTCCCTGCTCTACCCTTCCCTGCTGTACCCGACCCTGCTCTACCCTGTTTTATCCTACCCTGGACTACCCTTCCCTGCTCTACCCTTCCCTTCTCTACCCTTCCCTGCTCTACTCTACCCTGCCTTACCCTTTCCTACCCTTCCCTCCACAGCAGCCAGAGGAGCAGGTGCCCAGACCAGGAGCTCTGGTGAAACGCCACTCTTCTTTCTCCAGCAGCAGAGAGACCGAGAAGGTGGAATCCCTAGTCACCATAAAGAGACATGGCTCCAGTAAGTCTCCAGAAGGTCAGCCAAGACTGTGTGTGATGCTGGGAAGAGAGGGGGGAATTTTACATTACCTCGTCTTTTTAGATGATTCCTAGAATAAACCTAATATTATTTATCAATGTATTTTTGTTGTTTCTCTACCTTAGATGTGAATCCGCAAGTATCAGGGAAGTATGGCAAAACACGAGCAGAGGACGACGCCAGGAGGTACCTGAAGGAGAAAGAAGAGATGGAGAAGGAGCGAGAGGTCATCAAAAGTGCCCTGCTTGTATTACGCAAGGAGAGGAAAGGGGTGAAGGAACAACTGAAGGACGCTACAGGTAAGACAGTAAAACAACATTGAATTTATTGTATTGAATTTCTTTTAAAATGAGAGAGCATGTTTTTTTGCGTAGATTACTGGCGCCACCTACTGCTTGGCCACAGTATAGGAATTCTTCACTCTGACATATTGAGGCGCTGTGGAACCTAACAAGTGAATGTGTGTATGTGACTGTGGTCAGGTAAGCAGCAGAAGCAGCTGGAGAAGCGTTTGGCCCAGCTGGAGGAGAACTGCAGGGGGAAGGAGGGGGAGCGGGTGGACCTGGAGCTGCGTCTCACTGAGGTGAAGGAGAATCTAAAGAAGTCGCTGGCTGGAGGGGTGCTGGGGCCGCCCACAGAGAGCAAACCCCCCAGAAAGGTACCTGGCTCACTTGAACTCCTACTACATCACAAATAATTTTATCAATTCCAGACCATGGTTTATTGTCTTTTAGAGTCTTTACCCATTAACAGATATTCTCAACTTCTCTTTCCTCATGCTGTATGTCCAGGTTCAGATCAGTAAATTTGATCATCTATACAGCGAGGCATCCATGCCAGTAAACTGTGCTGCTGAGATGCGGAAGCGCCCCCTATCTGTCTATGCATCTGGCAGGGGGAATGTCATGCAGAAAGCCAAGGTAGGCAGTCATCAAACAAGATCCAAGGCACCCATTGACCTGATGTACCTGTTCTATCAAGTAGCACTGTGTCTCAATGTTCAGTAACAAAATCAGACTAACAAACTTACAGCAAGATCAGCCCCCATAGGCTTACTTTATGTACCAACACTACACGAGTGTCCTGTTTTTCAGGAATGGGAGTCGAAGAAGGGGACTTAGAAAGACAATGCTCATGCAGATGGACAGTCTAATACTTGTTGTCTTGGAACATGTTGGAGCTGATTCGAAAGAGAGGAGAAGGGGTGAAGCAGGCACTCCATTCTCAACTTTTCAACTCCCCTCTTGAAAGCTCAACATTTTACTGCACATCGCTGAGCTGAGAAACGTGTTACTAGGAAAGACAAGACACTGAACCTCCTGGAATTGTTGTAGAACATCACTCTTCGCCCTATTTCACTAGGGAACACTGAATGTTCATTCTGTAGCATGACACTTGTTTTGTGATTCAGTAATAGCGTGTGTAGCGTGTGGTAATGTTGTTCCTTCAGACTGTGGAAGAGGATATGTTATGGGGATTGCATGTGAACACATCTGAGGTGTTGGACTTGAGATGTCCCATTGGTAGAGCATGGCGCTTGCAACGCCAGGGTTGTGGGTTCGATTCCCACGGGGGACCAGTATGAAAATGTATGCACTCACTAACTATAAGTCGCTCTGGATAAGTGTCAGCTAAAATGACACAAAAAAAAAATAATGTTGAGAGCTGAGTGGTTTGCAGAGGTTGAATATGCATACTCACATGATGCACAGATCTGCAAGAAAGGATAATAAAGGGAAAGTGAATGTTGTATCGATTGTGTTTGTTGTTGGAATAGTAGCCTAGAGGAGATACTGTTATCCCATAGAGATATAGTTATATGGTGTATCCGCTATGCAAGTAATTTCACAACACGTACAGTAAGCTGGTCAGAGAGGGAGAGGAAACAACCGTTCATGAAGTGGATGAAACATTATTCCAGATCTTGATTTAACAACTTGGTGCAGCTGAACAACAGACAGAAAACAACTGACACCTGTATGAAACCAAATAGTTATTTTAATGTGAGACTAAACAAAGACGTTTCCTTATTACGTAATTCACTTACTGTTTCTCAGTGTAATGAGCCTTTTACTTTTAATTACTTTTGCACTTTACTATGTTATTTGTATGAGTATTGTACATAAAAGCTGTTCATTGAAATTGTCTGACTTCTTCATCAGAGAGAGAGAGAGAGAGAGATAATATACTCCTGTAATAGACTATTGGAGAATTTATTTGACGGCCATCTAATATGAATAAAACAACTTAAAGTGTTTATGCTGTAAGATTAGTGTGTCTGTCATTAGTTTAGAAAATGATGAGGGTGACACTGCCCAATCCCAATTCATTTTCATGCACGCTTACTTGTGTACTTGGAAGTCCACCAGTTGGAAAGACCACTTTTGTAGGAGTCGGCACATGCGGAGAAGAAATCTGAGAACTGGCATCACTGTGAGTGCGGCTGAAAGTTTTTGGGGACTCGATTTCACAGCCGATGCCTTGCAAGGAATACTGTTGCGACTGTTCTGCCCTCACAGGCTCCTGTTTTGGACTGAAGGAGTGGGACGGGTTTTGAATTTGATGTCTATTCTGTGGTTTGTCATCTTTTCCCACAATGGATGTTATATTTTTCACGTTCACTACCCAGTACAGTAGGTGGTGGCAATACATATGATAGGTTGTGTACATTTACATTTTACATTTTAGTCATTTAGCAGACGCTCTTATCCAGAGCGACTTACAGGAGCAATTAGGGTTAAGTGCCTTGCTCAAGGGCACATCGACAGATTTTTCACCTAGTCGGCTCGGGGATTAGAACCAGCGACCTTTCGGTTACTGGCACAACGCTCTTACCCACTAAGCTACCTGCCGCCCCAGTCTTCCAATAAACCCCAGAGAAGAAGAGACATGACAAGGGCAACCTCCTCTACTGAGGTATTTATGAACAGTCGACTCAAGATTTAACCAGCAAAGGGAAAAATACTCCAGAGCCTCTAACTCCAACAGTCTAACGAAGACATCCTCAAAGCGTTAACACTTTTCCTAACCACCTGCGGTCTCAACTAGAATATAAACAGTAAGAACCTAGTCCGTCGCCACCATACCAGCAGGTGGCGGTAATGCACCATCGGGTTTGTACTCAGCCATAAAGCCCAACAGAAGAGAAAGAATACTCGGAACAGCTGGGTTTCCACCAGATTGCACAGCCACAGTCAAAATTGGCTATATCGTAAAGATTCATGAAAACTACTTTTTTGGTCTCCGTTTAAGGTTACGGCTAGGTTTAAAATCACATTTAGAATATAAATTGTAGAAAACGGCGGGGTTTGTGACTTTGTGGCTGTGGTAACTAGTGACGGCCAGTCGGCTGTCCCATACTTCCGCTGCAGTGGATTGTAAACAGAATCTAAAAATATGGCCATACGCTGTCTTTTCTCGGCTCGGAAAAATCTCAACTGCGTCGGCAGATTACAACTCTTCTTGTCGAATGATTGCAGGTAAATATTGTCAACATATAGCTACTCTAGCTATTTAAAATACAGTGTAAACGTTAAAGTAAAGACAACACTTTCAACAAGCTAGCCAGCGTTAGCTCGAAAGCTAGCTTTGCTAACGTTAGCTAGCTGGGAATTCAAACCTGAGTTACGCGCGAGTAAATCGAACTTTATTCCTGTTTTATGCACTTTTCTCTCTACACGTATTCTGACCTTGTATTTCCAAGGTAACGTTGCTCGTTTGGTGTGGTGATCAGACAAATTGAGATGTGGCGAAGGTGTGTACAGCTTCTGACCTTGAGAGGCCTTGTATTCGAGAAGGGTCAACTGCAGCCCGTAATTCGGGGCGTTCCTACATGTGGGCATTCCTGCATATGCAGGAACCCCTCTATACTTATATTGGTACATTTGTAAGACATGGCTCCAGTACATAGGCGGGAGGCAGGGGCGCTCCAGGACAGTACTCAGACCCGTCGCCAGACCTCAGTCTTAAGGGGGGCATATGAAATGCATGGGAGGGCAGGGCACAATTATTATTAGCCTACAGTACGTATATTTATAATAATCGTATACTCTATTTGCGCAGCACGTAATCATCACATTAAACATAACCAACAGCAATATGACCAGGTAGCCTATAGCCTACACCACATTACATAGAAGCAATGTTATGAATATCCATAAAACACTTGACTATACAACATATTAGATGTAACAGCAGAAGCAGCTCTCAAACATTGCATTTTAAAGCAGTCAACAGAGGGATATGCATTGCCATGAGACACACACGCATATACACACACACAGAGAGACTTTGAACCTACCGGTACTTTGAGTGGAGGCAGCGCTGTCCTCTCTCCAGTCCCTCCTGTCAGCACAGCGGGAGGCGGCGTTTCTCCGAGCAGAACCTCCTCATCAAAGTATCCTTCCACTCGGACTTAAACTTGTGAGTGAGGTCCTTTTCAAAAGCAAGCTGAATCAGCTGGGCCTTGCGTCTGTGCAGCATACTGCGCCGATGCTCTGAGAAGACGCTTTTGAGCGTGGAAAATGAGTTCACACATTGCTGTGGAAGCTCCTAAAGTTAGGGCAAGTGTGTAGGCTGTGAGAACAGTCGGCATAGCCTGGAGTGCACAGTTGAATGTGCTGAGGATGTTGGCTATTGTCCATTTTCCATCTTCGGGGGGAACCGGGGTGTCAGTCATTTTCTTCACCAGGAACTCCCGAGCCACAGTATATTCAGATTCAACCACATCAGTTCCAGCTAATACCAGGAGAGGGGTTACCTTTGATGGGTCCAGGAAATTACCCTCGGCCTCTGGGTTCAAAGCAGCCAGTGCGCCAATGAGCTCGCTACTGCGCTCTCCAAAACGCGCATTCATCTCTCCTTGCACAGCATCGATAACACTGTAAAACAATCTCATGAACTCAGTCTTTTCATCTATGTCACTTTGTGGCTGACCAACTGTTTCTTCAACTGCAAATCCGCGGAGGTTCTTATTAATTGTGCGTCTTCTCTTGCTTGGACCAGGGTCGGTCACCGGCACAGCCTCGGTGGCCGATGCTGGAGGAGCGCAGAGATCCCACAGTGTCTTCACACAGTCAGAAGCGCTGTTCACAAGTGTCACCGCAGTGAACAAGTCCATATCTTCGGCCTGTAGTAGTCTGTTAGGCGGCTCGAAAAGTGACAACAGTTTCATAACAAGGTGCGCAATGAAAAGAAAACTGTGCTGCGTAATGGCACGAAGCAGCCCCGTAGCCTCGACGCGCACCTCCGCTCCAAGGCCTCGTGTGTTTTCCACCTCGGTCAGTAATGTGGATATGTCGTGAAAACTCTTCACCACAACTTTGACCGTTGCCAAGTGGCCAGTCCATCTCTGGTCCAAGAGACGTTTCAGGGTATCGCCTTTGTACAGAATAGCCACGGTTGGCTTCCTGATGAAGTTGTACAGCATGTTGCATACTCCAAAAAAATCATCGACAGCTGCTTCACTGGACATGGCATGAATCACAATCAGATGAAGTTGGTGATTAAAGCAGTGAATATATGGTATGTTACGATCCAGCTTGTTTTGGAGCAATTTCTGCACACCACCATGCCTGCCAGACATGAGTGATGCGCCATCATAAACTTGACTCAGGATTTTGTCCGTGCTGAGTCCGGCGCTGGTGAGCTCATCAATGATGACACCTGTCAGAGCCTCTGCATCACCTTTCTCAGATGTGGCCATTACCAAGAGGCGCTCACACAGACCATAGTTTTTGTCAACAAAACGCACAACTACAGATGTTTTCTTGGCCCAAAGGATCCCGTGTGCCATCCACTTTAATTGAATACCAGCTATTGCCGACTTGTCTCACTATCTCCTCTGTCACGAGTTTGCTCATCATTTAGATAATCTCGTTTTGTATCTGTGGGCTGGTATAGCGTGCATTCTGTGAGATTGTTTTTGTAATCTGTGTCATTTCGGGATCTTTGCGCATGGTGTACTCAAAGAGAGACAAAAACAGCCCCATTGAGCTATTATCATCTAGCACACTGGCAAAACCAGCATTATCTCCACGTAAGGGCAATTGATTCACCACTAAAAACTCCAGCATATCAATTACAGCTGACATGTAGTATCTGTTGCGAGCCAGTTGCTCTGAATTTAAGAGAGTGGAAACGTATTTCCTGTCTCTCTACGTTTTCTGAATCTCCACATTGCTTCACAGGCTAAATGTTATTTTGAAGCTGCATGCTTATTTAAGCCCTTGCCTGTTCCAATTGCATGTTTCCAATCATTAAATCCCTTAATGGAGAAGGTCGCGTCCGATGATACAGATTTGAATTTCCTGCAGGCATAACAAAATGCGGAGTCCTTTTCCACCGAGTACTCAAGCCAGTCCCTGTCCAAATACCAGCTAGAGGAAAATGATCGTTTTTTTGAACCAAACATTTTGACTGGATATTTCCTCAACACAACCTGTTTGTGTTTGTCCATGCCGAGGTCACTCACACCCACTGATTCAACAGGCAGTTGTGGCCCAAATGCTGCCCCAGTCGCGGTTGCACTTGACCTGCAGGTCCTGCCAGGCCCAGGGTCGGACTCCACGGAGCTACTAGCATCAGGCTCAGACTGTCGTCCAGGGTCTCCTTCTCCAACTACATCAGGAGGCGTCGGTGTCGTATCCAATTTGGCAGAGGAGACTGTTGGTGGGCTTTTCAACCACTTACGGATATCTATGACGAACTGAAGCGAGTAAGCCGGCGAAAACTCATCCAGCTTTAAAAAATGCGCGGTAACTGTTGAGCGGCTACACTGACGTAGGCTACGTCACGTACGTAGCCTAACTTTCTTTTTATTAAGGCCGTGATAGGCTGTTGCAGTGTAGATTCCCATCAATCAAACAAAATCACACCATTGTTTCTTTATATTTTTAATGTTTTAATGATAAAGAATGCAACATTAATGCAACACAAAATTAGCAACTCATTTTTTGGGGGGATGGGGGGGCAATTCAGGGGCCTGAATTGCGGGCTCTATTCCTGTATTCTGACCTATTCCATTGGTGGAAAAAGTAACCAATTTTCATACTTGAGTAAAAGTAAAGATGCCTTCATAGAAAATGACTCAAGTGAAAGTGACCTAGTAAAATACTACTTGAGTAAAAGTGTAAAAGTATTCTGTTTTAAATATACATAAGTATCAAAAGTAAATGTAATTGCTAAAATATACTAAAGTTTCAAAAGTTACAAACCAGACGGCGTCATTTTCTTGTTTTTTATTTATTTACGGATAGCCAGGGGCACACTCCAACACTCAGACATGATTTATAAATGAAGCATGTGTGTTTAGTGAGTCCGCCAGATCAGGGGCAGTAGGAATGACCATGGTACGTGAACTTGACCATTTTCCTATTTCAGGGAAAATGTATGTAGTAAAAAGTACATTTTCTTTAGGAATGTAGTAAAAGTTGTCAAATATAAATAAAGTTAATTCCACCACTTTTATGCATGAGGAAACCAGTGGAAAAACATTGAATTAGATATGTTCCCTGTGGCAAAGTCACCACAATAAGTGGGTTATCATAAAGTAAAAACAGCTACAACCTTCCGAAATCCCCCTGATAGCCAGGTGCAAGGGGAGAGATCAGGGCCAACAAGCTGGCTGACATCTTTCAGTCAAAGGTAAGCCAAAACTAATGTAATTTTCAACAAGGCTGTAGGGTAATAACCAAATATTTTAGGCCTACATTTAAACTAGGCTACATCAACTAATTGTGTGGTGAGTTTGACAGAACTTAGAGTTGATTAGGCCTAAATTGTGACAAATACAACAAGAGACTGTTACAATTCCTGTCCATATTTTTCCATTTACAGTGGTACAATCCTGTCAGAATTTTGTTTTTTAGCTGGTATAATTGTTGCATTTAAAACAACTTGGAAATCTCAGACTTCAGAACTTGGAACTCAGAAGAAAAAGAGCTCTGACTGGGGAAAAATAGTTTTGAGCGGTCATCCAACTCGGAATTCCAAGTCGGGAATTCTGGCCTCTTTCTAGAGCTCTGGCTTTCCGAACTGAAGATCACTAACATCATGATTTGACATTTTTTTTTCTTCAGTTGTCTTGAAAGTAGTTCAAATGCCTTGAAATAGGATTTCCGGTTTGAACGGGAATACCGTGTTATTACCAGGATGGTTGCAATCTCGGGAAGGAACATTTGTAGATTTTCGGGAAAATATTAAATCCTGTGCTGCGTTCAAAACAACTCGGAAATCTCCGACTTCAGTGCGTTCAAGACAACTGGGAACTCCGGAAACTCTGGCATCTTTCTAAGGCTCCTGAAGATCACTGACATCATGATTTGACCTCGTTTTTTGTCAGAGTTACCAGTTGTCTGTAAAGCACCAATAGTACATACCAGGTGTGACAGCGGTAAATCACTATAGTTGCTCGGCGAAACTTCATATTTGGTGAGTAAAGAACGTGTTATGACATTATAACGCTTGCAGAGCTATCTAATGTCAAAATGAATGGTAGCTAACTGGTTAGTTAATGATAACAAACTAACTAGCTAGCTAGGTGATGTTTACTTTGCTTTGCCCAGGCCAATACTTTGTAAACAAAAGACACTCTGTTAACCTCGCTGTGGTGGGTTTGATTGAATTCCAGTCTCTCTGTCAATGGAGTTGGAGCATCATGCCTCACTTAGCACTGCATAAACAGCAATCCTTGTATCTGAAATCTATTGTTTTAAACGGTTTATTTGAACTAGAATAAGAGTGTGTTGGATAAGCATGGAGCACTTATTGATACTGCTGTATTTTACACTTCTATGTTTACACCCACTCTGTCATAATCTTTACTGTCATTCTTCTCAAAGAACTAGTCTAAAGGGATCCTAAGTTGGTTAGTGGCTATAGGCTGAGCTATATTACAAATCCCACAAAAGTGGGATATTGGCGCTCAGCCACATTAAGTAGAATTAGGAAGTCAAATGTTGTTCAGAAGGAAATTGTGTTTGAACAGCGAATTGTTTCACAACATTATGTAATGAGGGAACATACATAATGGATTTTAGATTTGCCCTGATTGCTACTAATAATATTACTGCACGGAGTAAGATCTATTGAGGCCGATATTCTGAACCTTTCTTCTCTTCCACATTATGCATTCCAGCGCCGTGATTGGCCTCTACAGCACAGCAGCAAAGCAGTGGGGAACAGGTGATGATTGCCATGGTGATGACACCACAGATGACTCCAGCCATGCGGGGACCAATGTGAGACTGCTGGAGATGAGAGCCAGCAAGCTGGAGGAGCAGGTCAGGGAGCTGACGGTAAGAGCCTCAATGGTGACAGTAAAGGCCCTTTCTCACATTGTCCGAATTATTTGTCTGTATAAAATTAATACGAGCACGTCTTGTTTATGGTGTCGTTCACACCAATTGCAAAATATCGTCCAGCCGCAATCTGTCAATTATTTATTCGGAACAGGTTTTTGCGTCATTTCGCATGCTAAAATAAGCTGTTGACCAATAGAACGTGCACTGCCACTGACAGGTCTGTGGATTCTTTGTGTGAATAAAATAATTAATTTCTCTCTGCCGGTTGTTTTACATTTGCAATGCATCAGTGTAGCAATGTATCAATTTAGCCAATGTGATCACGTCACACCAGAGCTACACGTCGTTCTCGCCATTCAAACTTCCCCGCCAGTTCATTGCCAACGCTGTAGCCTATTTTATAGCCATTCAGCAAGCAAGAGGATCGATCTATGCTTCTTTCCTCGAATAGGCCTATTCGTTTTTTTCTTTTTTTTATTGCTTGAAATAAGTTTCAAACTATATTGCTGTTCGTGAATGATATTATCGGTAGGACTGGTGGAGTGATGTCGCACATGCAGCTAACAAAAACATATGGAAATGTCTGCTCTACCCAAAATTACAACCAAATAATTGCAGTATTACCGCATAAATGGAAGAGGCAAGTGGAAGGGGGAAAAAGTAAGGAACTTGTCTGTCGGCCTTGCATTAAAGAACATAATTGGTTAAAGAAAATTGTGATAAATAAAAAAATATACCAGTTTCATTTAAGGACCAAAGGATTGACAGCCGTCCCATACAGATTGCAAAAAAGTTGGGAAGAGATTTTTGACGTACCGATTCCATGGCATAGTGTTTATGAATTGATACTCAAAACGACGCCGGATTCAAAACGTAGAATCTTTTAATTTAAATTATTATATACAATTCTTGCTACCAATAGAATGTTATTTATGTGGGGGATACAATCTTCCCAGCTCTGCAGATTTTGCTGCGACGAGACAGAATCATTAGATCATTTGTTTTGGTACTGTCCATTTGTAGCTTGTTTTTGGACACAGGTCCAGGAATGGCTAAAGGATTGCAATATTTACCTGGAGCTAACCCTGCAGATAGCACTACTGGGTGATCTGAAAAGTCATAGTCAATCGATCAATAATATAATAATACTTTTAGCAAAAATGTTTATATTCAATTCACGATCTGTAGAAACAATGAGAATAGAAAGGTTCAGAACTTTTGTAAAACATCACAGAAAATCAATATGGATGGTGTTACGAGATAGATGGGAGGTGTTGAATGGAGCTGAAGGATGGGACTAATAACAACAACTAATAACAACAAGATAACTAATGTAAAGCATACTGTGTCCATAATAAGTATATAGGTTATAGGTTGAGAGCTTTTGTGAAAGAGCACAGTTAGAAAAATATGGCATATAGAAGCAAACCAGATGGACATCATGAAAATGATCGAAGGAAGTTCAGGAGTAAAAACAAACAAAATATAATTATTGTAGAATTTGACTGTGTCCATAAAATGTATATAGTATGTATGGGCTGGAAGTAGAGGCCTAAGTGTTGTTGTTCACTAGTTTACTCCAATTGGGGAAGGGGTGGTGGGGTTGGAAAGTAATGAAGGGAAATATAATTTAAAAAAGGATATGTATGTGTGTGTATACAGTGGGGGGAAAAAGTATTTAGTCAGCCACCAATTGTGCAAGTTTTCCCACTTAAAAAGATGTAGGATTTTTAATGAATTTATTTGCAAAATATGGTGGAAAATAAGTATTTGGTCAATAACAAAAGTTTCTCAATACTTTGTTATATACCCTTTGTTGGCAATGACACAGGTCAAACGTTTTCTGTAAGCCTTCACAAGGTTTTCACACACTGTTTCTGGTATTTTGGCCCATTCCTCCATGCAGATCTCCTCTAGAGCAGTGATGTTTTGGGGCTGTCACTGGGCAACACAGACTTTAAACTCCCTCCAAAGATTTTCTATGGGGTTGAGATCTGGAGACTTGCTAGGCCACTCCAGGACCTTGAAATGCTTCTTACGAAGCCACTCCTTCGTTGCCCGGGCGGTGTGTTTGGGATCATTGTCATGCTGAAAGACCCAGCCACATTTCATCTTCAATGCCCTTGCTGATGGAAGGAGGTTTTCACTCAAAATCTCATGATACATGACCCCATTCATTCTTTCCTTTAAACGGATCAGTCGTCCTGGTCCCTTTGCAGAAAAACAGCCCCAAAGCATGATGTTTCCACCCCCATGCTTCACAGTAGGTATGGTGTTCTTTGGATGCAACTCAGCATTCTTTGTCCTCCAAACACGACGAGTTGAGTTTTTACCAAAAAGTTATATTTTGGTTTCATCTGACCATATGACATTCTCCCAATCCTCTTCTGGATCATCCAAATGCACTCTAGCAAACTTCAGACGGGCCTGGACATGTACTGGCTTAAGCAGGGGGACACGTCTGGCACTGCAGGATTTGAGTCCCTGGCGGCGTAGTGTGTTACTGATGGTAGGCTTTGTTACTTTGGTCCCAGCTCTCTGCAGGTCATTCACTAGGTCCCCCCGTGTGGTTCTGGGATTTTTGCTCACCGTTCTTGTGATCATTTTGACCCCACGGGGTGAGATCTTGCGTGGAGCCCCAGATCGAGGGAGATTATCAGTGGTCTTGTATGTCTTCCATTTCCTAATAATTGCTCCCACAGTTGATTTCTTCAAACCAAGCTGCTTACCTATTGCAGATTCAGTCTTCCCAGCCTGGTGCAGGTCTACAATTTTGTTTCTGGTCTCCTTTGACAGCTCTTTGGTCTTGGCCATAGTGGAGTTTGGAGTGTGACTGTTTGAGGTTGTGGACAGGTGTCTTTTATACTGTTAACAAGTTCAAACAGGTGCCATTAATACAGGTAACGAGTGGAGGACAGAGGAGCCTCTTAAAGAAGAAGTTACAGGTCTGTGAGAGCCAGAAATGTTGCTTCTTTGTAGGTGACCAAATACTTATTTTCCACCATAATTTGCAAATAAATTCATAAAAAATAATATATATATATATATATATATATATTTATACAGTGGGGGAAAAAAGTATTTAGGCAGCCACCAATTGTGCAAGTTCTCCCACTTAAAAAGATGAGGCCTGTAATTTTCAAAAAATATCCAGAAAATCACATTGTAGGATTTTTTATGAATTTATTTGCAAATTATGGTGGAAAATAAGTATTTGGTCACCTAATCTCAACCCCATAGAAAATCTTTGGAGGGAGTTGAAAGTCCGTGTTGCCCAGCGACAGCCCCAAAACATCACTGATCTAGAGGAGATCTGCATGGAGGAATGGGCCAAAATACCAGCAACAGTGCGTGAAAACCTTGTGAAGACTTACAGAAAACGTTTGACCTGTGTCATTGCCAACAAAGGGTATATAACAAAGTATTGAGAATGTCACACCCTGGCTAATGGACTCTATTTGTTGAGCCAGAGTGTGTTTGTTCTATGTGGTTATGTCTATGTTGGGGGTTCTAGTTAGTCTGTTTCTATGTTTGCCTGAGTGACTCCCAATCAGAGGCAACGAGTGTCAGCTGTTTGGCTGGTTGTCTCTGATTGGGAGCCATATTTAACTGTCTGTGTTTCACGTTGTGTTTGTGGGTTTTTGTTCCTTGTCGGTCTTTGTCACCGTGGACTTCACGAGTCGTTTATTGTTTTGTTTAGTGTGCTTATTATCACTGACGATAATAAAGTCTATCATGTTCGCTCAACGCGCTGCGTATTGGTCTACTCCTTATCAAGACGATCGTGACAGAGAAACTGTTGTTATTGACCAAATACTTATTTTCCACCATAATTTGCAAATAAATTCATTAAAAATCCTACAATGTGATTTTCTGGATTTTTTTTCCTCATTTTGTCTGTCATAGTTGACGTGTACCTATGATGAAAATTACAGGCCTCTCATCTTTTTAAGTGGGAGAACTTGCACAATTGGTGGCTGACTAAATACTTTTTTTCCCCCACTGTATATATTATATGATCTGCTAAAGTGAATCTGTGCTATAGACAACCATAAAAGACTAAGTAAATATCCGCCAGAGTTGACCCTTATCAATAAGTGGTTGCACAGATTTAGATAAAGCACTCAGATTAAAATGTGGTGTCACCATAACCACCCATTTCGTCACAAACATTGATCAACGGCTGATCACTAGACTACGGACAGGTTGCATGCATGTCTTTCTATTTTCTAATGGTTGTCAATTTCATCTTCATACAGCGTGTATCACAGCTGTCTCTATATCTCCCCCTTACAACTTTCCTTGTCAATTTATATGATAGGCTACATTGATTTAGCATTATACTATAATGTAGACCATTTTTTGATATGCTACAGAAAGGATTTGAAGCTAAGGCAAGGTTTTTAATCCATTTTTGGAAAAGGAGAAATGAGATTTGCTTATGTCTGAGTGAGATACGCGGCAGGCAGCTTTGATTGATGGGTCCTTTTAGGTGGGTGGGTGTGCGTCTATGAGTTTGCTAATTCTCTATGTCCATTCAGAAAGTTTCCTAAAATAGGCCTAGCCTGTCTGGACTTCATCTCTTTAATCAGATAGAAAGAAAAATGTAAGCAGCAAACGTCATGATGGTCATATATGTGCGAGGAATGACAACAGGTGGCGGTTTTGCATTTCCTCTCGTAATAAATGGGGTGCAACTGAATGAAACGTAGCCAAGCACCTTTCATGATTCATGAAAGCTTAACCTAATATTTGCCTTAGCATATTATTTTTCCAGTAGTATATGATTTTTCTCTCATTACTGCGTCCTCTCCAGCCACTTTGAACAACATATGGCCACTCAGAATGACCGCAGCAATGGCAAAAAATAACAATATTTTGTTGTTGTTGAATTTTCATTATTGGACATACACATGTCACCCCAATGGTGGAACAAGCTCCCTCACGACGCCAGGACAGCGGAGTCACTCACCACCTTCCGGAGACATTTGAAACCCCACCTCTTTAAGAAATACCTGGGATAGGATAAAGTAATCCTTCTACCCCCCCCCAAAAAAAAAAAAAAAAATTGTAAAGTGGTTATCCCACTGGCTATAGGGTGAATGCACCAATTTGTAAGTCGCTCTGGATAAGAGCGTCTGCTAAATGACGTAAATGTAATGTAAATGTAATACACTACCGGTCAAAAGTTTTAGAACACTTACTCATCCAAAGGTTTTTCTTTATTTTTACTATTTTCTACATTGTAGAATAATAGTGAAGACATCAAAACTATGAAATAACACACATGGAATCATGTAGTAACCAAAAAAAGTGTTCAACAAATCAAAATGTATTTTATATTTGAGATTTTTCAAATAGCCACCCTTTGCCTTGATGACATCTTTGCACACTCTTGGCATTCTCTCAACCAGCTTCACCTGAAATGCTTTTCCAACAGTCTTGAAGGAGTTCCCAAATATGCTGAGCACTTGTTGGCTGCTTTTCCTTCACTCTGCGGTCCAATTCATCCCAAACCATCTCAATTGGGTTGAGGTCGGGGGGTTGTGGATGCCAGGTCATCTGATGCAGCACTCCATCACTCTCCTTCTTTAGAGGTGTGTTGGGTCATTGTCCTGTTGAAAAACAAATGATAGTCCCACTAAGCCCAAACCAGATGGGATGGCGTATCGCTGCAGAATGCTGTGGTAGCCATGCTGGTTAAGTGTCCCTTGAATTCTAAATAAATCACAGACAGTGTCACCAAAAAAGCACCCCCACACCATAACACCTCGTCCTCCATGCTTTACGGTGGGAAATACATATGCGGAGATCATCCGTTCACCCACACCACGTCTCACAAAGACATGGTAGTTGGAACCAAAAATCTCCATGTTGGACTCCAGACCAAAGGACACATTTCCACCGGTCTAATGTCCATTCCACAAATTAACTTTTAAGAAGGCAAACCTGTTAGTTGAAATGCATTCCAGGTGACTACCTCATGAAGCTGGTTGAGAGAATGCCGAGAGTGTGTAAAGCTGTCATCAAGGCAAAGGGTGGCTATTTGAAGAATCTCAAATATAAAATAGATTTAGATTTGTTTAACAATTTTTTGGTTACTACATGATTCCATATGTGTTATTTGGGGCGGCGCACAATTGGCCCAGCGTCATCCAGGGTAGGGGAGGGAATGGCCGGCAGGGATGTAGCTCAGTTGGTAGAGCATGGCGTTTGCAACGCCAGGGTTGTGGGTTCAATTCCCACGGGGGGTATGAAAAATACAATAAAAAATAATGTATGCACTCACTAACTGTAAGTCGCTCTGGATAAGAGCGTCTGCTAAATGACTAAAATGTCAATGTAAATTTCAAAGTTTTGATGTCTTCACTATTATTCTACAATGTAGAAAATAGTAAAAAAAAATTAAGAAAAACCCTTGAATGAGTAGGTGTTCTAAAACTTTTGACCGGTAGTGTAAAAACACCAGGAAATCAGCTCGAAGTGATTTTAATTTGGGAAATCTGTTCCCAAGTATTTCCACGTATAATAGAGAGACACATGATCATATACAAATGTAAGCAAGGTTTGAAAATATTATGTTTTAGTCAAACATTATATCTGTTTTTGCTTCTTGCAGTCAACAAATTATTTGTAATTATGTTCCGGCCCCCTGACCATCCGCTCAAGAAAAAATCCACCCGCGGCTGAATCTAGTTGCCGATCCTTGCTCTATATAATACTGTGCGTTGCCTTGAATTCCTTCCGGATTTGGGGACTCTGAAGAGGCCCCTGGTGGCTTTGTATCGAAGTACACCCCAAGAAACCTGAAGCAGTGTTGGTGACCTTATGCTAATTATTCGGATAAGTGGAGGGAAAAACTCACCAGACTTGGTGTGAATGGTTCAGTGCAGGGGTGTCCAACTCATTCCATGGAGGGCCTAGTGCAGGGTTCCCCAACTGGTGTCCCGCGGCTGAATCTAGTTGAAGATCCCTGGCCTAGTGTCTGCAGGTTTTGGGGTTTTCCTTTCAATGAAGACCTAGACAACCAGGTGAGGAGAGTTCCTTATAAATTAGTGACCTTATTTCATCAATCAAGTACAAGGGAGGAGTGAAAATCCGCAGACACTCGGCCCTCTGTGGAATGAGTTTGAGATGTGGTTTAGTGCGTCGAAATCGGAAAGTATTCAGACCCCTTGACTTTTTCCACATTTTGTTACGTTACAGCCTTATTCTAAAATGGATTAAATTGTTTTTTTTTCCCTCATCAATCTACACACAATAACCCCATAATGACAAAGCAAAAACAGGTTTTTAGAAATGTTTGCTAATTTATTAAAAGTAAATCAATATGACATTTCCATAAGTATTCAGACCTTTTACTCAGTACTTTCTTAATGCAACTTTGGTAGCGAGTCTTCTTGGGTAGGACGCTACAAGCTTGGCACACTTGTATTTGGGGAGTTTCTCCCATTCTTCTCTGCAGATCCTCTCAAGCTCTGTCAGGTTGGATGGGGAGCGTTGCTGCACAGCTATTTTCAGGTCTCTCCAGATATGTTCAATCGGGTTCAAGTCAGGGCTCTGGCTGAGCCACTCAAGGACATTGAGAGACTTGTCCCGAAGCCACTCCTGCGTTGTCTTGGCTGTGTGCTTAGGGTCTTTGTCGTGTTGGAAGGTGAACCTTCTCCCCAGTCTAAGGTCCTGAGCACTCTGGAGCAGGTTTTCGTCAAGGATCTCTCTGTAATTTTCTCTGTTTATCTTTCCCTTGATCCTGACTAGTCTCCCAGTCCCTGCCGCTGAAAAACATCCCCACATCATGATGATTCTGCCACCACCATGCTTCACCATAGGGATGGTGCCAGGTTTCCTCCAGATGTGATGCTTGGCATTCAGGCCAAAGAATTTAATCTTGTTTCTCATGGTCTGAGAGTCTTTAGGTGCCTTTTGGCAAACTCCAAGTGGGCTGTCATGTGCCTTTAACTGAGGAGTGGCTTCCGTCTGGTCACTCAACCATAAAGGCCTGATTGGTGGAGTGCTGCAAAGATGGCTGTCCTTCTGTAAGGTTCTCCCATCTCCACAGAGGAACTCTGGAGCTCTGTCAGAGTGACCATCGGGTTCTTGGTCACCTCCCTGACCAAGGCCCTTCTCACCCGATTGCTCAGTTTGGCATGGTGGTTCCAAACTTCTTCCATTTAAGAATGATGGAGGCCACTGTGTTCTTATGGACCTTCAATGCTGCAGAAATGTTTTGGTACCCTTCATCAGATCTGTGCCTCGTCACAATCCTGTCTCGGAGCTCTACGGACAATTCCTTCGACCTCATGGCTTGTTTTTTTCTTTGACATGCACCGTCAACTGTGGAACCTTATATAGAGAGGTGTGTGCCTTTCCTAATCATGTCCAATCAATTGAATTTACCACAGGTGGACTCCAATCAAGTTGTAGAACCATCTCAAGGATACTCAATGGAAACAGGATGCACCTGAGCTCAATTTTCGAGTCTCATAGCAAAGGGTCTGAATACTTATGTAAATAAGGTATCTGTTTTTTATTTGTAAGAAATTAGCAAAAATGTCTAACATCCTGTTTTTGCTTTGTCATTAGGGGGTATTGTGTGTAGATTGCTGAGGACTTTCTTTAAAAAATTATCAATTTTAGAATAAGGCTGAGAGTCTTTAACGTAACAATGTGGAAAAAGTCAAGGGGTCTGAATGATTTCGGAAGGCACTGTATATGTATTTTTTATCACGTAAGATGTACTGCATTGTATTCTAGGAAAGATACAAAAGGGTCCTGGCTGACTCTGACAACGTTCGAAGAAGAACTCAGAAGTTTGTTCAAGACGCCAAGATATTTGGTGAGATGTTGTTTTTTTCCTACCCTGACATCTCCGACCCATACCTAGTATGGTCCTTCTGCTTTGTGCAGTTGTAATCCCTCTCCCCTACCACTCCACTCCCACAGGGATCCAGAGTTTCTGCCGTGACCTGGTGGAGGTGGCTGACCTGTTGAAGCAGACGACAGGAAACCTGCAGGGGGAGGAGGTCCAGAGACTGGCCCAGGTCAAGGACCGGCTGCAGGGGGTCTTCACAAAGCACGGTCTGGAGAAGATGAGCCCTGTTGGGGCTAAATACGACCCCTACCAGCACGAGATAGTGTGCCACACTCCTGCTGAGGGAGAGGAGCCTGGCACCGTTGCTGTGGTGAAGCAGGATGGGTACAAGCTCCATGGACGCACCATCAGGCATGCCCAGGTGGGCATTGCTGTGATGACACAGGAGCAGGACTAAGGCTTGTGCTAGTCTCTGACCTCTCTAGTACTTCACGGTCGTCTGCACCTGACAGATCCAGCTTTGCAACAATCCTTTCAGTTACTTAAATGTTTTTCATGTGGTTTGTTTCAATTTTGTCACTTTCTCTAGATTAATTGTGTACATATGTATTTGTGTATTTGATAGTTTTTCCTGTATTTTTTTTTTTACTTGATCTGAAAATAGGGTCACTGTCACATGTTCTTCTAGAAGTACTTTAACTTTGAGACTGTGCCCATCTTTGTTATTTTTAAGTGTTTTTTAAATATATAATTGTTTGTATATTTTTTGGGGGGGTTTGATAACATGTTGAGCTACAATATCTTGTTCGTATCCCATGGATTTGCAGGACTGACGACGGCAAGTCTTTACTTTGCTTGGCTAGCTATAGCTAGCTAGTTAATCTAAATTTGAATGATGCACCGGATGTTTGTTCCACCTGTCCCGGTTTCTGGAAGGATGCGGACTGTGCTGTGATGACAGAGGCTCGTCTCATAGGAGACTGCCAAAGCATCACTCAGGTGGGTGCTACACTTTCGTTGGTGGATGTTCCAGCCTATACAGAGGAGTAGCTGTGAACTTAAGCGACAGAAGTGCCTGATGAAACGCTCCGGGCCTGCCTGTCTGACTGATGGCTGTACCATCGATGCCACCACCAACACTCAAGTTACTCCTATCTGTGGAAGACCATCTCCCATGAACTGCCAGCTGCCTGAATAGTTTTTTGAGATTCTGTATGAAAAGCGCTAGCTATATAAACAAAATATTATTATTATTAGTCATATGAATGTGTTCGCTATTTACTAACATTCCCAGATATGTGTAGATACTTAATGATATTGTTATACCTCATAAGACCTGGTTGATGAAACATTTAGTTTACTTAGTAATGTGGAAGTTGTGTACGTTTGGAGAGGTAGTATTATTTACACTGCCCTCCAGAATTGTGGTTGTTTCTGTATGTGAGCAAGTAACAATGAAGTTCTTGATGTTTGAGAGAATCTGTGCTCTTACAGATTGGGATGGTTGTGTAGAATGTGCAGTTACCTGTATCTTATATGAAGGTTGCACCTTTTACATTGAAAATGTTGGGATTTATGTATTTATTCAGACAATGTGTTTAGCATTACCCAAAGAGCAATGTGTATATTTTGATGATGCAGCTATGAAATAGTTTCAGTTAGGCAGGTTTGGATCCTCTACCCTACCCTTCTCTCCACTTTTCTTTATCTGGCCTTCTTCGTCTGGTACTTTTAATGGAAATTGTACTTTGATTGATGCACTTGATTTTATGATCTAATGTACTGCACTTGATTTGATGTACAGTGCCTTCCGACTCCTGTAATAGTCTATTGGAGAATTTATTTGACGGCCATCTAATATGAATAAAACAATTTAAAGTGTGTATTCTGTAAGATTAGTGTCTCTGTCATTAGTTTAGAAAATGATGAGGGTGACACTGCCCAATCCCAATTCATTTTCATGCCCGCTTACTTGTGTACTTGGAAGTCCACCAGTTGGAAAGACCACTTTTGTAGGAGTCGGCACAAGCGGAGAAGAAATCTGAGAACTGGCATCACTGTGAGTGCGGCTGAAAGTTTTTGGGGACTCGACTTCACAGCCGAGGCCTTGCAAGGAATACTGTTACGACTGTTCCGCCCTCACAGGCTCCTGTTTTGGACTGAAGGAGTGGGACGGGTTTTGAATTTGATGTCTATTCTGTGGTTTGTCATCTTTTCCCACAATGGATGTTATATTTTTCACGTTCACTACCCAGTACAGTAGGTGGTGGCAATACATATTATAGGTTGTGTAGTCTTCCAATAAACCCCAGAGAAGAAGAGACAGGACAAGGGCAACCTCCTTGTCCATTTTTTCACCTTTATTTAACCAGGTAAGCCAGTTGAGAACAAGTTCTCATTTTCAACTGCGACCTGGCCAAGATAAAGCAAAGCAGTGCGATAAAAACAACAACACAAAGATACATATGGGGTAAACAAAACAAAGTCAAAAATACAACAGAAAATATATACGGATGGCACTGTGATAGACTACATCCAATTTGCTGAGTAGGGTGTTGGAGGCTATTTTGTAAATGACATCACCGAAGTCAAGGATCGGTAGGATAGTCAGTTTTACGAGGGCATGTTTGGCAGCATGAGGGAAGGAGGCTTTGTTGTGAAATAGGAAGCCGATTCTAGATCTAAGTTTTGATTGGAGATGCTTAATGTGAGTCTGGAAGGAGAGTTTACAGTCTAACCAGACACCTAGGTATTTGTAGTTGTCCACATACTCTAGGTCAGACCCGCCGAGAATAGTGATTCTAGTCGGGTGGGCGGGTGCAAGCAGCGTTTTGTTGAAGAGCATGCATTTAGTTTTACTAGTGTTTAAGAGCAGTTGAAGGCTACGGAAGGAGTGTTGTATGGCGTTGAAGCTCGTTTGGAGGTTTGTTAACACAGTGTCCAATGAAGGGCCAGATGTATACAAAATGGTGTCGTCCGCATAGAGGTGGATCCGAGCGTCACCAGCAGCAAGAGCGACATCATTGATATACACAGAGAATAGAGTCGGCCCGAGAATTGAACCCTGTGGCACCCCCATAGAGACTGCCAGAGGTCCAGACAACAGGCCCTCCGATTTGACACATTGAACTCTATCTGAGAGGTAGTTAGTGAACCAAGCGAGGCAGTCATTAGAGAAACCAAGGCTATTTAGTCTGCCAATAAGAATGCGGTGGTTGACAGAGTCGAAAGCCTTGGCCAGGTCGATGAAGACGGCTGCGCAGTACTGTCTTTTATCGATCGCGGTTATAATATCGTTTAGGACCTTGAGCGTGGCTGAGGTGCACCCATGACCAGCTCGGAAACTGGATTGCATAGCGGAGAAGGTACGGTGGGATTTGGAATGGTCTGTGATCTGTTTGTTAACTTGGCTTTCAAATACTTTCGAAAGGCAGGGCAGGATGGATATAGGTCTGTAACAGTTTGGATCTAGAGTGTCACCCCCTTTGAAGAGGGGGATGACCGCGGCAGCTTTCCAATCTCTGGGGATCTCAGACGTTACGAAAGAGAGGTTGAACAGGCTAGTAATAGGGGTTGCGACAATTTCGGCAGCTAATTTTATAAAGAAATGGTCCAGATTGTCTAGCCCAGCTGATTTGTAGGGGTCCAGATTTTTCAGCTCTTTCAGAACATCAGCTGTCTGAATTTGTGTGAAGGAGAAGTGGGGGGGGCATGGGCAAGTTGCAGCGGAGGGTGCAGAGCTGGTCGCCGGGGTAATGGTAGCCAGGTGGAAAGCATGGCCAGCCGTAGCTAAATGCTTGTTGAAATTCTCGATTAATGTAGATTTATCGGTGGTGACAGTGTTTCCTAGCCTCAGTGCAGTGGGCAGTTGGGAGGAGGTGCTCTTATTTTCCATGGACTTTACAGAGTCCCAAAACTTTTTGGAGTTAGTGCTACAGGATGCAAATGTCTGTTTGAAAAAGCTAGTCTTTGCTTTCCTAACTGATTGTGTATATTGGTTCCTGACTTCCCTGAAAAGTTGCATTACGCGGGGGCTGTTTGATGCTAATGCAGTACGCCACAGGATGTTTTTGTGCTGGTCAAGGGCAGTCAAGTCTGAGGAGAACCAGGGGCTATATCTGTTCTTAGTTCTGAATTTTTGGAATGGGGCATGCTTATTTAAGATTGAGAGGAAAGCACTTTTAAAGAACAACCAGGCATCCTCTACTGACGGAATGAGGTCAATATCCATCCAGGATACCCGGGCCAGGTCAATTAGAAAGGCCTGCTCGCTAAAGTGTTTTAGGGAGCGTTTGACAGTGATGAGGGGTGGTCGTTTGACCGCGGACCCATTACGGACGCAGGCAATAAGGCAGTGATCGCTGAGATCCTGGTTGAAGACAGCGGAGGTGTATTTAGAGGGTACATTTGTCAGGATGATATCTATGAGGGTGCCCATGTTTACAGATTTAGGGTTGTACCTGGTAGGTTCATTGATAATTTGTGTGAGATTGAGGGCATTTAGTTTAGATTCTAGGTTGGCCGAGGTGTTAAGCATATCCCAGTTTAGGGATACCTCTACTGAGGTATTTATGAACAGTCTACTCAAGATTTAACCAGCAAAGGGAAAAATACTCCAGAGCCTCTAACTCCAACAGTCTGACGAAGACATCCTCAAAGTGTTAATACTTTTCCTAACCACCTGCGGTCTCAACTAGTATATAAACAGTAAGAACCTAGTCCGTCGCCACCATACCAGCAGGTGGCGGTAATGCACCACCGGGCTTGTACTCCGCCATAAAGCTCAACAGAAGAGAAAGAAGACTCGAACAACTGTGTTTCCACTAGATTGCACAGCCACAATCAAAATTGGTTATATCGTAAAAAGTAATGATAACTACTGTATTGGTCTCCATTTAAGGTTACGGTTAGGTTTAATATCACATTTAAAATATAAATTGTAGAAATCGGCGGGGTTTGTGACTTTGTGGCTGTGGTAACTAGTGACGGCCAGTCGGCTGTCCCATACTTCCGCTGCAGTGGATTGTAAACAGAATCTAAAAATATGGCCATACGCTGTCTTTTCTCGGCTCGGAAAAATCTCAACTGCGTCGGCAGATTACAACTCTTCTTGTCGAATGATTGCAGGTGAATATTGTCAACATATAGCTACTCTAGCTATTTAAAATGTAGTGTAAACGTTAAAGTAAAGACAACACTTTCGACAAGCTAGCCAGCGTTAGCTACGATAGCTAGCTGGGAATTCAAACCTGGGTCCGTTGTTTCCAAGGTAACGTTGCTCGCTTGGTGTGGTGATCAGGCAAATGGAGATGTGGCGAAGGCGTGTACAGCTTCTGACCTTGATAAACGTTGTATTCGAGAAAGGTGCAACGGCAGCCCGCTAGTCGGGGCGTTCCTGCATGTGTTCATTCCTGCATCTACAGGAACCCCTCTTTATACTTATATTGGTACATTTGTAAGCCATGACTCCAGTACATAGGCGGGAGGCAGGGGCGCGTGGTAATGCACCATAACGTTGGATGCCAACAGCCGATAAACCCCACAGAGGCATGGGCAACAACGGTAGCTAGCTCTAGCTAGTTTTCCTGCAGTTCTGTTAACGACAGCGATGGCCGGTGTTCGGCAGGAGGGAACGAAGGACACTGTTTGCTAGCTTAGCCAGCTAGTCCTGAAGAGGACACCGGTACACCGTGTGCTAGCTAGCTTCGCCCCCGCCTGCTGTGTACCAGAACTAACGGTGTCTCCCGCCTGCTGTACTAGCGTGAGGCGGGGACGACCGCTAGATAGTCTTTAGCCCCCGCCTGTCGGGCACAGTTTTTCCGCAGTTCTGTTGACTAAGGGCAGGCGAGAGCAAAGGACACTGTCTACCGGTGTCGCTCCCTGCTAGCTAGCAACGAGGACTACTGTACACAGCCGGAGTGGGCGAAAAAACTCAGATAATAATTTAATTTCCCTTTTGACCCAATTTCAAAAGTGTCACAAGCATGTAGACATTCTCGGGGGGGGGCGTTCATGCAGGAACCAATGGGGTGCTCGAAAGGGGTGGGGGGGCATTCCTGCAGATGTAGGAATGCCCTGAATTGCGGGCTGCAGTTAGACCCTATTGCTATATTCATTTACATTACATTTACATGACGGAAAAGTTGTATTCATTTACATTTTAGTCATTTAGCAGACACTCTTATCCAGAGCTACTTATTTTTTTTTAAATTTCATACTGGCCCCCCATGGGAAACGAACCCACAACCCTACCAACTGAGCTACATCCCTGCCAGCCATTCCCTCCCCTACCCTGGACGAATTGTGCGCCGCCCCAAGGGTCTCCCGGTGGCGGCCGGCTACGACAGAGCCTGGATTCGAATCAGGATCTCTAGTGGCACAGCTAGCACTGCAATGCAGTGCCTTAGACCACTGCGCCACTCGGGAGACAATTCGGACCTATTCCATTGATGGAAAAAGTACCCAAAAGTCATACTTGAGTAAAAGTAAAGATGCCTTCATAGAAAATAACTCAAGTGAAAGTCACCTAGTAAAATACTACTTGAGTAAAAGTATTCGGTTTTAAATATACGTTAAGTATCAAAAGTAAATGTAATTGGTAAAATATACTTAAGGATAATATACTTACGAATGTTCCCACTCCTGAGTGGCGCAGGCTAACTGTGCCACTAGAGATCCTGGTTCGAATCCAGGCTCTGTCGCAGCCGGCCGCGACCGGGAGACTCATGGGCGGCGCACAATTGGTCCAGGGTAGGGGAGGGAATGGCCGGCAGGAATGTAGCTCAGTTGATAGAGCATGGCGTTTGCAACGCCAGGGTTGTGGGTTCGTTTCCCACGGGGGGACAGTATAAATAAAAAAAAGGCTGTAGGCTAATAACCTCATATTTTAGGCCTACATTTAAACTAGGCTACATCAACTAACTGTGTGGTGAGTTTGACATAACTTTGAGTTGATTAGACCTAAATTGTGACAAATACAACAAAAAACTGTTACAATTCCTGTCAATATTTTTCCATTTACAATGGTACAATCATGTCCGATTTTTATTTATTTATTTTTTAGCTGTGATTATTGTTGCGTTTAAAACAACTTGGAAATCTCAGACTTCCTAATTTAGTGCGTTCAAGACAACTTGGAACTCGGAAGAAAAAGAGCTCTGACTCGGAATTCCAAGTCGGGAACTCTGGCCTCTTTCAAGAGCTCTGGCTTTCCACACTGAAGATCACTGACGTCATGATTTGACCTCGTTTTTTTTTGAGTTCCCAGTTTTTCTTGAAAGCACCATTAATGCCTTTAAATAGCATTTCCTGTTTGAACGGGAATACCGTGATATTACCAGGATGGTTGCAATTTTCTCGGGAAGAAAAATTGGTAGATTTTCGGGAAAATGTTAAACCCTGTGCCGTGTTCAAAACAACTCGGAAATCTCCGACTTCAGTGCATTCAAGACAACTGGGAACTCAGAAAAAAACAAGTGCCGACTGGGACAAATCGCTTTAAATGTGCATCCAACTCGGAATTCCAAGTCGGAAACTCTGGCATCTTTCTAAGGCTCCTGAAGATCACTGACGTCATGAGTTGACCTCATTTTTTGTCAGAGTTACCAGTTGTCTGTAAAGCACCAATAGTACATACCAGGTGTGACAGCGGTAAATCGCTATAGTTGCTCAGCGAAACTTCATATTTGGTGAGTAAACGTATTATGACATTATAACGCTTGCAGAGCTATCTAATGTCAAAATGAATGGTAGCTAACTGGTTAGTTAATGATAACAAACTAACTAGCTAGCTAGGTGATGTTTACTTTGCTTTGCCCAGGCCAATACTTAGTAAACAAAAGACACTGTTAACCTTGCTGTGGTGGGTTTGATTGAATTCCAGTCTCTCTGTCAATGGAGTTGGAGCATCATGCCTCACTTAGCAAAACAGCAATCCTTGTATCTGAAATCTATTGTTTTAAACGGTTTATTTGAACTAGAATAAGAGTGTGTTGGATAAGCATGGAGCACTTATTGATACTGCTGTATTTTACACTTCTATGTTTACACCCACTCTGTCATAATCTTTACTGTCATTCTTCTCTCAAAGAACTAGGCTAAAGGGATCCTAAGTTGGTTAGTGGCTATAGCCTGAGCTATATTACAAATCCCACAAAAGTGGGATATTGGCGCTCAGCCACATTAAGTAGAATTAGGGAGTCAAATGTTGTTCAGAAGGAAATTGTGTTTGAACAGCGAATTGTTTCACAACATTATGTAATGAGGGAACATACATAATGGATTTTAGATTTGCCCTGATTGCTACTAATAATATTACTGCACGGAGTAAGATCTATTGAGGCCGATATTCTGAACCTTTCTTCTCTTCCACATTATGCATTCCAGCGCCGTGATTGGCCTCTACAGCACAGCAGCAAAGCAGTGGGGAACAGGTGATGATTGCCATGGTGATGACACCACAGATGACTCCAGCCATGCGGGGACCAATGTGAGACTGCTGGAGATGAGAGCCAGCAAGCTGGAGGAGCAGGTCAGGAAGCTGACGGTAAGAGACTCAATGGTGACAGTAAAGGCCCTCTCTCACAAAGTCTGTTATTTTTTCCCGAATTATTTGTCTGTATAAAATTAATACGAGCACGTCTTGTTTATGGTGTCGTTCACACCAATTGCAAAATATCGTCCAGCCGCAATCTGTCAATTATTTATTCGGAACAGGTTTTTGCGTCATTTTGCATGCTAAAATAAGCTGTTGACCAATCGAACGTGCACTGCCACTGACAGGTCTGTGGATTCTTTGTGTGAATAAAATAATTGATTTCTCTCTGCCAGTTTTTTTACATTTGCAATGCATCAGTGCAGCAATGTATCAATTTAGCCAATGTGATCACGTCACACCAGAGCTACACGTTGCTCTCGCCATTCAAACTTCCCCGCCAGTTCATTGCCAACGCTGTAGCCTATTTTATAGCCATTCAGCAAGCAAGAGGATCGATCTATGCTTCTTTCCTCGAATAGGTCTATTCGGTTGTTTTTTTTATTGCTTGAAATAAGTTTCAAACTATAATGCTGTTCGTAAATGATATTATCGGTAGGACTAGTGGAGTTATGTCGCACATGCAGCTAACAAAAACATATGGACATGTCTGCTCTACCCAAAATTACAACCAAATAATTGCAGCATTACCGCAAAAGTGGAAAAGGAAAGTGGAAGGGGGAAAAAGTAAGGAACTTGTCTGAAAAAAAGTTTTTTTTAAATATTGCTGTTCATTGTCTATATATAGGCTGCTCATTCATTAGCTAGAGAGAGGGGGAGAAGAGATAGGCCAGTGGAGTTGTGAATTGTGCAAGAAGGGAACAGTGAAGAAGAGCGATGTGTAAGTTAGAAGTTCATTAATATGTTAATGCATCATTTGTATAGCCTATATATTTGGCTATATATATTATATGATCTGCTAAAGTGAATCTGTGCTATAGGCAACCCTAAAAGACAAAGTAAATATCCGCCAGAGTTGACCCTTATCAATAAGTGGTTGCACAGATTTAGATAAAGCACTTACATTAAAATGTGGTGTCACCATAACCACCCATTTCGTCACAAACATTGATCAACGGCTGATCACTAGACTACGGACAGGTTGCTATGGACAGGTTGCATGCATGTGTTTCTATTTTCTAATGGTTGTCAATTTCATCTTCATATAGCATGTATCACAGCTGTCTCTATATCTCCCCCTAATTCTCTATGTCCATTCAGAAAGTTTCCTAAAATAGGCCTAGCCTGTCTGGACTTCATCTCTTTAATCAGATAGAAAGAAAAATGTAAGCAGCAAGCGTCATGATGGTCATATATGTGCGAGGAATGACAACAGGTGGCGGTTTTGCATTTCCTCTCGTAATAAATGGGGTGCAACTGAATGAAACGTAGCCAAGCACCTTTCATGATTCATGAAAGCTTAACCTAATATTTGCCTTAGCATATTATTTTTCCAGTAGTATATGATTTTTCTCTCATTACTGCGTCCTCTCCAGCCACTTTGAACAACATATGGCCACTCAGAATGACCGCAGCAATGGCAAAAAATAACAATATTTTGTTGTTGTTGAATTTTCATTCTTGGACATACACTACCGGTCAAAAGTTTTAGAACACTTACTCATCCAAAGGTTTTTCTTTATTTTTACTATTTTCTACATTGTAGAATAATAGTGAAGACATCAAAACTATGAAATAACACACATGGAATCATGTAGTAACCAAAAAAAGCTTTGCCTTGATGACAGCTTTGCACACTCTTGGCATTCTCTTAACCAGCTTCACCTGGAATGCTTTTCCAACAGTCTTGAAGGAGTTCCCACATATGCTGAGCACTTGTTGGCTGCTTTTCCTTCACTCTGCGGTCCGACTCATCCCAAACCATCTCAATTTGGTTGAGGTCGGGGGATTGTGGAGGCCAGATCGTATGATGCAACACTCCATCACTCTCCTTATTTTTTTGTTTAAATAGCCATCACACAGCATGGAGGTGTGTTGGGTCATTGTCCTGTTGAAAAACAAATGATAGTCCCACTAAGCCCAAACCAGATGGGATGGCGTATCGCTGCAGAATGCTGTGGTAGCCATGTTGGTTAAGTGTGCCTTGAATTCTAAATAAATCACAGACACACACAGACGGTGGGAAATACACATGCGGAGATCATCCGTTCATCCATACCGCGTCTCACGAAGACACAGTGGTTGGAACCAAAAATCTCCAAGTTGGACTCCAGACCAAAGTACAAATTTCCACCGGTCTAATGTCCATTCCACAAATTAACTTTTAAGAAGGCACACCTGTTAGTTGAAATGCAGGGCCTAGTGCAGGGTTCCCCAACTGGTGTCCCGCGGCTGAATCTAGTTGAAGATCCCTGGCCTAGTGTCTGCAGGTTTTGGGGTTTTCCTTTCAATGAATACCTAGACAACCAGGTGAGGAGAGTTCCTTATAAATTAGTGACCTTATTTCATCAATCAAGTACAAGGGAGGAGCGAAAATCCGCAGACACTCAGCCCTCTGTGGAATGAGTTTGAGATGTGGTTTAGTGCGTCAATAAATAGTTTTTCCCTACTCAATCTACACACAATACCCCATAATGACAAAGCAAAAACAGGTTTTTAGAAAGACATTTACATAAGTATTCAGACCTTTTACTCAGTACTTTGTTAAAGCACCTTTGGCAGCCATTACAGCCTCGCGTCTTCTTGGGTATGACGCTACAAGCTTGTATTTGGGGAGTTTCTCCCATTCTTCTCTGCAGATCCTCTCAAGCTCTGTCATGTTGGAAGAGGAGCGTTGCTGCACAGCTATTTTCAGGTCTCTCCAGAGATGTTCGATCGGGTTCAAGTCCGGGCTCTGGCTGAACCACTCAAGGACATTGAGAGACTTGTCCCGAAGCCACTCCTGCGTTGTCTTTGCTGTGTGCTTAGGATCTTTGTCCTGTTGGAAGGTGAACCGTCACCCCAGTCTGAGGTCCTGAGCGCTCCGTTCATCTTTCCCTCGATCCTGACTAGTCTCCCAGTCCCAGACGCTGAAAAACATCCCCACAGCATAATGCTGCCACCGTCATGCTTCACCGTAGGGATGGTGCCAGGTTTCCTCCAGACGTGATGCTTGGCTTTCAGGCCAAAGAGTTCAATCTTGGTTTCATCAGACCAGAGAATCTTGTTTCTCATGGTCTGAGAGTCTTTAGGTGCCTTTTGGCCAACTCCAAGTGGACTGTCATGTGCCTTTTACTGAGGAATGGCTTCTGTCTGGCCACTCTACCATAAAGGCCTGATTGGTGGAGTGCTGCAAAGATGGTTGTCCTTCTGGAAGGTTCTCCCATCTCCGCAGAGGAACTATGGAGCTCTGTCAGAGTGACCATCGGGTTCTTGGTCACCTCCCTGACCAAGGCCCTTCTCACCCGATTGCTCAGTTTGGCAGGGCGGCCAGCTCTAGGAAGAGTGTTGGTGGTTCCAAACTTCTTCCATTTAAGAATGATGGAGGCCTCTGTGTTCTTATAGACCTTCAATACTGCAGAAATGTTTTGGTACTCACTCTCTCAGTGAGGCACTGTACATGTATTTTTTAATCACGTAAGATGTATTCTAGGAAATATACAAAAGAGTCCTGGCTGACTCTGACAACGTTCGAAGAAGAACTCAGAAGTTTGTTCAAGACGCCAAGATGTTTGGTGAGATGTAGTTTTTTTCCTACCCTGACATCTCCGACCCATACCTAGTATGGTCCTTCTACTTTGTGCAGTTGTAATCCCTCTCCCCTACCACTCCACTCCCACAGGGATCCAGAGTTTCTGCCGTGACCTGGTGGAGGTGGCTGACCTGTTGAAGCAGACGACAGGAAACCTGCAGGGGGAGGAGGTCCAGAGACTGGCCCAGGTCAAGGACCGGCTGGAGGGGGTCTTCACAAAGCACGGTCTGGAGAAGATGAGCCCTGTTGGGGCTAAATACGACCCCTACCAGCACGAGATAGTGTGCCACACTCCTGCTGAGGGAGAGGAGCCTGGCACCGTTGCTGTGGTGAAGCAGGATGGGTACAAGCTCCATGGACGCACCATCAGGCATGCCCAGGTGGGCATTGCTGTGATGACACAGGAGCAGGACTAAGGCTTGTGCTAGTCTCTGACCTCTCTAGTACTTCACGGTCGTCTGCACCTGACAGATCCAGCTTTGCAACAATCCTTTCAGTTACTTAAATGTTTTTCATGTGGTTTGTTTCAATTTTGTCACTTTCTCTAGATTAATTGTGTACATATGTATTTGTGTATTTGATAGTTTTTCCTGTATTTTTTTTTTTACTTGATCTGAAAATAGGGTCACTGTCACATGTTCTTCTAGAAGTACTTTAACTTTGAGACTGTGCCCATCTTTGTTATTTTTAAGTGTTTTTTAAATATATAATTGTTTGTATATTTTTTGAGGGGGTTGATAACATGTTGAGCTACAATATCTTGTTCGTATCCCATGGATTTGCAGGACTGACGACGGCAAGTCTTTACTTAGCTTGGCTAGCTATAGCTAGCTGGTTAATCTAAATTTGAATGATGCACCGGATGTTTGTTCCACCTGTCCCGGTTTCTGGAAGGATGCGGACTGCGCTGTGCTGACAGAGGCTCGTCTCATAGGAGACTGCCAAAGCATCACTCAGGTGGGTGCTACACTTTCGTTGGTGGATGTTCCAGCCTATACAGAGGAGTAGCTGTGAACTTAAGCGACAGAAGTGCCTGATGAAAAGCTCCGGGCCTGCCTGTCTGACTGATGGCTGTACCATCGATGCCACCACCAACACTCAAGTTACTCCTATCTGTGGAAGACCATCTCCCATGAACTGCCAGCTGCCTGAATAGTTTTTTGTTTGTTTTTTTAAAAGCAACTTTGAGATTCTGTATGAAAAGCGCTAGCTATATAAACAAAATATTATTATTATTAGTCATATGAATGTGTTCGCTATTTACTAACATTCCCAGATATGTGTAGATACTTAATGATATTGTTATACCTCATAAGACCTGGTTGATGAAACATTTAGTTTACTTAGTAATGTGGAAATTGTGTACGTTTGGAGAGGTAGTATTATTTACACTGCCCTCCAGAATTGTGGTTGTTTCTGTATGTGAACAAGTAACAATGAAGTTCTTGATGTTTGAGAGAATCCGTGATCTTACAGATTGGGATGGTTGTGTAGAATGTGCAGTTACCTGTATCTTATATGAAGGTTGCACCTTTACATTGAAAATGTTGGGATTGATGTATTTATTCAGACAATGTGTTTAGCATTACCCAAAGAGCAATGTGTATATTTTGATGATGCAGCTATGAAATAGTTTCAGCTGGGCAGGTTTGGATCCTCTACCCTACCCTTCTCTCCACTTTTCTTTATCTGGCCTTCTTCGTCTGGTCCTTTTAATGGAAATTGTACTTTGATTGATGCACTTGATTTTATGATCTAATGTACTGCACTTGATGTTATGTACAGTGCCTTCTGGAAGTATTCACACCCCTTGACTTTTTCCACATGTTGTTACAAAGTGGGATTAAAATGGATTTAAATGGGGGGTTTTAAACGATCTACACAAAATACTCTAATGTCAAAGTGGAAGAAAAATTCTTGCTTTTTAAAAAAGATGAATGAAAAATAAAAAATAAACTATACTGAGCAATGTTCCCTCGTAACACAGAATAAATATCAACCCGAGCAGGGAAGCACGAGATTGAACTTCACTCAACTCTCTAGAGTTTTCCACTTTAGTTAACACTTATCAACGTGTCGCTCTACAGTGGGAATTGTGTTCGAATCAACGCAATATTAGACACTTTCAATGTAGCATACCAAAAACTAAACGAACTATGCAAGACTTAGTATGCAAAACTAACTGCAAGAGATTTTCTTGTAGGCATTAGAGTAGGATTCTATTGCATTGACAGGCATGACTCAGGCACATACGCTATACAGACTGGTGCGCCATAACCAATCAGAGCTGCAGTAGGTCTATATGCAAATAGCCATTGCCATATATGGATCTGTGCCGTTCACTTTGAACTGCTGTGTTTATAGCATGAGCAGTTTGTTTTGATATCAAAGCCAGAGCTGCATGTAGCTAGCCACCTGTACACATTTGTATATATTCTTTGTCAGTTAGTGAGTTATTAGCCCAGTTATAGCTAATATCTAGTTAACAATGGGGGAGTGGTTGCTTCCTACAAGAGCACAAAATGTGTGCATTTCTAGACATCTTTGAAAAGCTAGTCAGGCAAAGAGCTTTTTTGTGTCTGTTGTATTTTGAGACAGTCTTGAATAAGCTAAGTAGCCAATAATGGTATGGGAATAATAGTGCATTTTATATTGTAAAGTGGTTTCTTGCATCAAACAATACAACGTCTTCAGTCACCTCCTTGTCTGAAGGACAAGTGAATAAACAGGTTGTCAAGCCCTGCATGTTTTTTTTCAAAAGTCTCATGGAATGTAGGCCTACATTGAACACCACACATTTGCTGCTACTGTAAACAATGACAGAACAGCTATTTCCATGTTAAAATGTAATGGGATGCAATTTTGTCAATTGTTTTTGATGGTAGGCCACTCTGGTAGGTCTACATTATGATCAAATAGCCACAGTAGCCTACATGGCCACTGTTAAAACTGGAACTTAAAGCGGGTACAGCCTCAGTGTTCACAGTAAATGCGCTCTGGAAGTTGCACAGAATTTTCACAATGTTCAAGTTTGCGCTCAGCAGACCTGAAATGTGCTCAGTGCCGGAAAAAATTAGAGGGAACATACAGTTAGGAATCACCTTTTGGCAGAGGTTACAGTTGTGAGTCTTTTTGGGTAAGTCTCTAAGAGCTTTGCACACCTGGAATGTACAATATTTGCCCATTATTCTTTATTATTTTTTACATCTTTTTGTATTATTATTATGATTATTTTACCCATTTTTCTCCCCAATTTCGTGGTAACCAATTGGTAGTTACAGTCTTGTCCCATCGCTGCAACTCCCGTACGGACTCGGAAGAGGCGAAGGTCGAGAGCCGTGCTTCCTCCGAAGCACAACCCAGCCGAGCCGCTCTGCTTCTTGACACAATGCCCGCTTAACCCGGAAGCCACCCGCACCAATGTGTCGGAGGAAACACCGTACACCTGGCGACCGTATCAGCGTGCACTGCGCCCGGCCCGCCACAGGAGTTGCTAGTGCGCGTGGGACAAGAATACGCCAATTGTGCGCCGCCCCATGGGTCTTCCGGTCGCGGCCGGGTGTGACAGAGCCTGGACTCGAACCACCATTATTATTTTTTAAACTCTTCAAACTCTATCAAGTTTGTTGTTGATCATTGCTAGACAGCCATTTTCAAGTCTTGCCATACTTTTTCAAGCCGATTTAAGTCCTTTGTATATTTGGCTTAGTAATAATAAATAATATGCCATTTAGCAGACGCTTTTATCCAAAGCGACTTACAGTCATGTGTGCATATATTTTTACGTATGGGTGGTCCCGGGGATCGAACCCACTACCCTGGCGTTACAAGCGCCATGCTCTACCAATTGAGTGTTTTAGGTTATTATCCTGCTGAAAGGTGAATTTGCCTCCCAGTGTCTGTTGGAAAGCAGACTGAACCAGGTTTGCCTCTAGGATTTTGCCTGTGCTTAGCACTATTTCGTTTCTTTTTATCCCCCAAAAAAGCCTCCCTAGTCCTTGCCAATGATGAGCATATTCATAACATGATGCAGCCACCACCAAGCTTGGTACTCCTTGATGTGTTATGTTGGATTTAACCCCAAACATAATGCGTTGTATTCAGGACAAAAAGTTAATTTATTTGCAGTATTACTTTAGTTTGTTTTGGAATATGTGTATTTTGGTCACCTCCCGAGAGGCGCAGTGGTCTAAGGCACTGCATCGCACTGCTAGCTGTGCCACTAGAGATCCTGGTTCGAATCCAGGCTCTGTTGTAGCCGGCCGCGACCGGGAGACCCATGGGGTGGCGCATAATTGGTCCAGGGTAGGGGAGGGAATGGCCGGCAGGGATGTAGCTCAGTTGGTAGCGCCAGGGTTCGATTCCCACGGGGGGCCAGTATGAAAAATAAAAAAATGATGTATGCACTCACTAACTGTAAGTTGCTAAATTACGTAAATGTACAGGCTTCCTTCTTTTCACTCGGTCATTTAGTATTGTATTGTATTGTATTGTATTGTATTGTATTGTATTGTATTGTAGCGTAACTACAAAGTTGTTGATCCATCCTCAGTTTTCTCCTATCACAGCCATTAAACTCTTAACTGTTTTAAAATCACCATTGTCCTCATCGTCAAATCCCTGAGCGTTTTCCGTCCTCCCCGGCAACTGAGTTAGGAAGGACACCTGTCTCTTTGTAGTGACTGGGTGTATTGATACACCATCCAAAGCATAATTTAGCCAAAGTAGTTAATTTATTGTTTTGTAATTAAGATATAGTCCTGAATTAGTCAGTCAGCAGAGAGTTAAAGCAACAGTACAAAAGTGCAAACTGGACCCTGGTTTTATGGACATAAACAATCAATCGTTTTTCCTGTACAGTGCTATATTTGTAACATATAGTGTGCAGGCACCCCATTTTAAGCTGTTTGACCACAGTAAAAGTCCAGCAACACTTCCTATGACCTAGCTTTTTGTTCAAACTCATCTGTTTTGTACAGATAACTGTGTACTGTGCAATATGTATGTCCAATATGAAAAAACAGATTGTATTTAAGTTGTGCTATGTAATGTTTAAGCATCTACCTGATGAGGTCATGCATGTTCTCCTGGAATTATTTAATAAGAGTTGGAGTGAGGGGGTTATACCTTCCGGTTGGAAACGTGATGTAATATTACCTTTTGTAAATGTCAAAGTGGATTCCATAAAGGTAGCTCTACTTTGGATGCATTAGTAAAGGTGAGCAATGAATTTGAAAAAACTCTGGTCATGAAAGAAGTAATGGCTACTGTCTTTTTTTACATTGAAAAGGCTTATGACACTATGTGGAGAAAAGGCCTACTGATTAAGATGGAAAGACTTGGTATTGGTGGATATTATATACAGTGAGGGAAAAAAGTATTTGATCCCCTGCTGATTTTGTACGTTTGCCCCCTGACAAAGACATGATCAGTCTATCATTTTAATGGTAGGTTTATTTGAACAGTGAGAGACAGAATAACAACAAAAAAAATCCAGAAAAACACATGTCAAAAATGTTATAAATTGATTTGCATTTTAATGAGGGAAATAAGTATTTGACCCCTCTGCAAAACATGACTTAGTACTTGGTGGCTAAATCCTTGTTGGCAATCACAGAGGTCAGACGTTTCTTGTAGTTGGCCACCAGGTTTGCACACATCTCAGGAGGGATTTTGTCCCACTCCTCTTTGCAGATCTTCTCCAAGTCATTAAGGTTTCGAGCCTGACGTTTGGCAACTCAAACCTTCAGCTCCCTCCACAGATTTTCTATGGGATTAAGGTCTGGAGACTGGCTAGGCCACTCCAGGACCTTAATGTGCTTCTTCTTGAGCCACTCCTTTGTTGCCTTGGCCGTGTGTTTTGGGTCATTGTCATGCTGGAATACCCATCCACAACACATTTTCAATGCCCTGGCTGAGGGAAGGAGGTTCTCACCCAAGATTTGACGGTACATGGCCCCGTCCATCTTCCCTTTGATGCGGTGAAGTTGTCCTGTCCCCTTAGCAGTAAAAAAAACCCAAAGCATAATGTTTCTACCTCCATGTTTGACGGTGGGGATGGTGTTCTTGGGGTCATCGGCAGCATTCCTCCTCCTCCAAACACGGCGAGTTGAGTTGATGCCAAAGAGCTCGATTTTGGTCTCATCTGACCACAACACTTTCACCCAGTTCTCCTCTGCATCATTCAGATGTTCATTGGCAAACTTCAGAAGGGTATGTATATGTGCTTTCTTGAGCAGGGGGACCTTGCGGGCGCTGCAGGATTTCAGTCCTTCACGGCGTAGTGTGTTACCAATTGTTTCCTTGGTGACTATGGTCCCAGCTGCCTTGAGATCATTGACAAGATCCTCCCGTGTAGTTCTGGGCTGATTCCTCACCGTTCTCATGATCATTGCAACTCCACGAGGTGAGATCTTGCATGGAGCCCCAGGCTGAGGGAGATTGACAGTTATTTTTGTGTTTCTTCCATTAGCGAATAATCGCACCAACTGTTGTCACCTTCTCACCAAGCTGCTTGGCGATGGTCTTGTAGCCCATTCCAGCCTTGTGTAGGTCTACAATCTTGTCCCTGACATCCTTGGAGAGCTCTTTGGTCTTGGCCATGGTGGAGAGTTTGGAATCTGATTGATTTATTGCTTCTGTGGACAGGTGTCTTTTATACAGGTAACAAGCTGAGATTAGGAGCACTCCCTTTAAGAGTGTGCTCCTAATCTCAGCTCGTTACCTGTATAAAAGACACCTGGGAGCCAGAAATCTTTCTGATTGAGAGGGGGTCAAATACTTATTTCCCTCATTAAAATGCAAATCAATTTATAAAATTTTTGACATGCGTTTTTCTGGATTTTTTTGTTGTTATTATGTCTCTCACTGTTCAAATAAACCTACCATTAAAATTATAGACGGATCATTTCTTTGTCAGTGGGCAAACATACAAAATCAGCAGGGAATCAAATACTTCTTTCCCTCACTGTAACTGGGCTTTGTCCTTCTTATTTAATCGCTCTTTTCGAGTTGAAATAGGATCCATTTTATCTGATATCTATGGAGTTGACAATAGTATTCCTGAAGGCAGTGCTATCAGTCCTATTTTGTTCAACATTATGATTAACGATGTGTTTTCGAATGTAGGTAGGTGTATTGGGGCTTCCCTATATGCTGATGATGGAGCTATTTGGAAGAGGGGAAGGAATGTCTCTCGTGATCAGATCTATTCAACAAGCTATAGTGGATGTTGACAGATGGTCGATTGACTGGGGTTTTAAATTGTCAGTGGCGAAGTCTTGTTGTATGTTCTTCTCGAAGAAGAAAGTTGCTGATAATATACAGTTGTTTCTGTATGGACAGCCTATGGGGTGGGTTTCTAAGTACAAATATTTGGGTCTATGGTTCAATGAGCGATATACATGGAAAGATCTGTCTGTATTTAATAGTTTATCATCTGGTAAATCTAATAGGAGTGACCTACTATTGGAGGTATTAATGTTATAATGGAGAATTGAGAGACTGGGTGTAGTAGTGAGATTCTGCTGGGTCCCAGCACATTTGGGTGTGGAAGGGAATGAAATTGTTGACCAGTTAGCTAAAAGAGCTTTGAAACGAGATATAATTGATATTAATGTTCCAGTGGGTAGAGGTGAGGCCAAATGTAAGATCAGTGACATTTTTATAGATGTGTGGCAGAAGAGATGGAACTCTGAGCACAAGGGCCGGCATTTATATGCCCTCCAAAGAAAGGTCGATGGACCAAGCATGTGAATGGTTTGTGTCTGGAGGGTATGGTCGATGAAAAGGTGGAGCACGTGTTGTTATATTGTTATAAGTATGTTGAAGAGAGGTAAAGATTGAAGTGTAGGGTCATTGAGGTTGGGGGTGTTGGAAGGGATTTTGGGGATGGGGGAGGGTCTATTAGAAGGTAGTAGGGCTCTATTTTTTTTTAAGTACTGAGTTAGGTAGGAGGATTTAGAAATGTTGTAAACCGTGATTGACCACACACTCCAGCACAGTAGGTGGCGGCATGCACCTTTAACATTGGTTTGCGGACCGCCATTATATCATAGAAGAAGAAGAACACGTGTTTAGTTTTTTTTTTGCCTTGCGACGGAGCACGCTGCAAACCGCGAGAAAATTACCTAAAACAATAAGTAAGTTCTGCATTATCTCTCAGAAACATGACCAAGGTAAAGAAGGAAAAGGGCATCAAGGAGGAGGAGGCTGGAGCGACGGAGACTGTAGTGACAGAGAAATCCTATCAAGAGTTGATCGCAAACATCAACCCAATTGCTAATCCGCTGGCCACTAAGAAGCTAAGCAAGAAGCTCTACAAATGTGTCAAAAAAGGTAAATAACTATACATATTATATTTTCATATTGACAAACAAATGCTAACAATATGGTTGACATTAGATTTCCAAATAGTAACCAGCAAGGTAACGTTAGCTTGGTGAACAGTTAGTTAGCACATGTCCTAGCTAGCCACTAAGTAGCTAACGTTTAGTAGTTGGCAAGTGAGCCGAGTGGTGCTAGCTACTTCAGCTAACTTTCCGTTTGTTTTTTACGTGCAACTCCAATGTCCTTTTCAGCATCTAAGCTCAAACAAATTCGCCGTGGAGTGAAAGAAGTTCAGAAGTTCATCAACAAAGGAGAAACTGGGTAAGTTGGTTGGTTAGCTAGCTAATTCATTTAGCCTGTACTGTTTCTGTAGTTAACTAGATATCTAACGTTATTCTGCCGGTAGTTACTATCGTATCAGATCAAATGCGTGATTCTCTAGCTAGATACAATTGTTATTTTATTTGCAGGATTGTGGTGTTGGCTGGAGATACTCTTCCAATCGATGTTTACTGCCATCTACCCGTCATGTGTGAGGACAGAAGTCTGCCATATGCCTATATTCCCTCAAAAGTGGTGAGTATTGCAAACCAAAAGGCCTACCTAGGAATGGCGAAGGTACATTACAAAATCGTGTTTCACGTCATTGTCCACGGAGTTTTGAAACTACAGTGCGCTACATGGTTCAATACATCTATCAGCACAATCAAGTTTTTCAAATCGCCACCGTCTTGGAGCTGAAATTGATCATGTATACTGTGCTAATGATGATACAAAAAGAAGAATGGAGAGGAATGGACAATATGGCGAACCTTTGCCTTACTTTTCTAATGAGTTTTGAGAAGGATGTGATGAGTACCTTTTTAAAGTAACCCTGCCATGTCTCAGTTGGTAGAGCATGGCGTTTGCAATGCCAGGGTCGTGGGTTCGCTTCCCACGGGGGGGGCCAGTATAATCATGGTTACTACATGATTCCATATGTGTTATTTGGGGCGGCGCACAATTGGCCCAGCATCGTCCAGGGTAGGGGAGGGAATGGCCGGCAGGGATGTAGCTCAGTTGGTAGAGCATGGCGTTTGCAACGCCAGAGTTGTGGGTTCAATTCCCACGGGGGGTATGAAAAATAAAATAAAAAATAATGTATGCACTCACTAACTGTAAGTCGCTCTGGATAAGAGCGTCTGCTAAATGACTAAAATGTAAATGTAATGTGTCTTTGTCTCCTCAGGACCTTGGTTCGTCTGCAGGCTCAAAGCGGCCCACCTGCGTCATCATGATCAAATCTCATGAGGACTATAAGGAGGCCTATGATGAGTGTTTCGAGGAGGTCTCTGCCCTGCCCAAACCCCTCTGAACCCGTTCACTGACTAGTAGAATCATATTGTATCTGAGAATGTCTGGCTGTAGGCAGAATGAATGGGGGGGGGGGGGGGGGGGGGGGGGGGGGGGGGGGGGGGGTGTATATTAACTGACTAACCCTAGAGCCAAGCTGCAGTGTGGTGTGGTATTTCAATCTCTGTATACATCGATACCCCAGCAGTGATCCCCAGTCCCCTCAATGTCATCTTTGTTTGTTTTGGTTATTACATGTCAACGGTGACTGTGAAGGTTGATGACACAGCGTTCTTTGGTGTTTTAAGTAGGTGCTGACTTGAAACAGGACGTGATACATTTATTTTTCCTCATTCGGTGGGATCCATGCATTGTCTACAGCCAGATATGAATATGCCTACGACGTACATTGTTTTTTATTGTGTGCTTTCATAACTTGTGTTATTTCAATGTCAAAACTACTATGGGTTGCGCTCCTTTTAAAACATCCATTTTGGTATGAAAATAAATCTGCACACGGATTCTATTTTGTTTTCAAGTAAGCAGAAATACTATTTTATGAATTGTAATCCGCCTCGTTGTGTTTGAATGGTCAGGACTCGGGTTAGGTTACAGATCATTGTAATCCGCCTCGTTGTGTTTGAATGGTCAGGACTCGGGTTAGGTTACAGATCATTGTAATCCGCCTCGTTGTGTTTGAATGGTCAGGACTCGGGTTAGGTTACAGATCATGTAATTAGCTTATCTTGTGTATTTTGACAGATCTAAGTGAGTGACCATATGGGACAACATGTTTCCTGCTCAGTTAAACATGACATTATTTCTTGCCATCCCATTCTGATGGGTTTGATCATTGCAGTTGTAAACTTCTGTATCGTAACTCATACTTTTACATTTAGGAGGTAATCCCCCTTGATTCATCGTTTGTCTTAGTTGTATCTTCTCATTTGTATTTTGTCACAGGCATATTGACATTCCCCTTTGCATAGGTTATTCATATTCTTGCTTTGAGGAAGATATATTGGCATGTGATACAATGCTGTATTGATGCAATAAATACCCCTTTGTTTTTTGGTACATCTCAATGCAATGTCTGCTTTACTTTCGGAGTGGGGGAATACATTTACATCATGAAGGCAACGATGGTGACTGAGAAAATGAACGTCCTCAATGTTTGTTTTGCAAAAGCCTAGGTGGGCATTTGAGATCACAATTATTAAATATGAGGCCAATATGGTAGCAACATTAACTTAGTAGGCGTTCACCTTTTCACAAATGCGCTTGATGTATTTTCACAATTTAGACTCATTTCCAAATAAATGTCTTGGTTATTTATCTGTAAGAACAAATTGATCTGAATGTCTCAATCTATTTGTATGCATATAGCACTAGCTCTTGGAGCAGGTTGTAGGCAAAATTATCCTATGATACTGAGTGGTTCACACATCCATAAAACGTATGGTATTACTAACAACCACAAGGTGTCAGTACTGTCACGTTTTAATGTAGGCAACTGGTGGGCCCCTTTATGTAGGCCTGCAGATACCCCCCCCCCCCCCCCCCCCCCAAAAAAAAAACGTAATGTTGAGCGTTAGAATCGTACAATACACATGATGCAATTTGCTAATTTGTTTGAGCATTAGCAGTTTTTCTGTTATGTCAGTCACTGACAGTCACTTAATTAGCCCATGTCAGCAAAAACATTTTTAGTTAAGTTAGCTGGCTAGAGACTATTTAAACTTGTAATCATGGTCAAATTACCGACCACGGAGCCCCCATTGATTTTGTTAGTCACTCTCACTCAGATATCTTAGACTGCAAAAAAAAATCTCCACGCTATGGCAAAATTAGTAAAATTGCAGGAAATTAGCTGTAAAACTGCAAATTTTACTCTCCGCCCCATGGCAAAATGTGTATAATTGTATGAAATGTGTTACACAATTGCAAGTCTTCTCTCTTCCTCATGGCAAAATGTGTAGAAATGCAGCAAATTTAATTCTAAAACTTCAATTTATTCTCTCCGCTGTCATGAGAGGGGCCGCTTATATGTTTTGCTCGTAAGGTACAGGGGCCTCCCAACAAAATGTCACTTAGGCTAGGTCCAGCTCTGACTTCACACCCACAAGCCACTGCGGCCCCTCATAATGAGTTCTGATTTTTTGGTGGCCCCCAACCCCATCAAAGTTGCCCATCCCTGATGTAGAAATATCCCTCCACTAGGTGTGAGTGTTGTCCTGTTGGTACCCTCACTTGGCATTGAGTCAAGACTTCCACCTGCTGTTATTCCAGCTTTATTTTTTACAACCCATTATTATACAGTCTGGTTTTCATAATGCATTAGTGCTTGGGCTCTGACCTTCAACAGAACATTTCACAAAATATTATGGCCGCTTTCCCTCAACCATTCTGTGTCAACTGAATAGGGTGAATCAAATCAAATCACATTTTATTTGTCATATGCGCCGAAAACAAAAGGTGTAGACTACCTGAAATACTTACGAGCCCTTTCCCAACGATGCAGAGATTTAAAAAAATAATCAGGGTAGTGCTGCTCTTTATTTGGTGAGCAAACACTTGGCATGTTGGCTGTTGAAACAGTCTGTGAACCCCTCTCTCTCCTCAGTCCCCACCAGGCCAAGATTTATGTTGCTTGTTTTTTCTGTGTTGACATTTAAAATATTTCTTGCCAAAAAATCCACCAATACTGTCTTTGTTGTGTTTAGCTCTATTTTGCCCAAGTCATTACAAAAGCAGAAGAGCCATGTCTCAGTCCTTCAGAGCACAATGGTTTTAACAGGGCAACATCCAAGAAGGAACTTGAACTGAATATTATTTTTAGTACTTTCTAGATATAATTCCTGGAATTATTAACCTCGATGTCTACTTACAAGGATGGAGATAATCCTTTACATTTTGGATCATCTCTTCCCAGTCTGGTGGATATAAACGGATATTATTTTGCTTTGAATTCATATATATTTTATTTGAGACCAAGGTATTTATTTGAGATTACCTAAATGGGCAAGGATAATAATAATAATATAATATAATATGCCATTTAGCAGACGTTACAAGCGCCGTGCTCTACCAGCTGAGCTACAGAGGACCACCAGGATAGGGAGTTGATTAGATATTTTACCATTGATTAGATATTTTCCCATTGTAAATATTTTTTCTTCTCAGGTAAGATTTAACGTCCTCTGGTAGTAGTAGTCAAGGTTTATATCTGTATTTTTCTTTCTTTAAAGATAAGTATACTCTCACCTTGGTACCTGAAACATCTATGTAGTTTTCGAGGGGTCATTTGTCTATAGAAAACACATTTATTTAATTTTTTCCCCAAATGTATTTAGGAGCTAAAGAAGGGGTAAACTTGTTGACAGTATTCTTAAGAGACTGGAAGAGTACTCACTGCAGATGGTTTAATTGTCTATAGAATGATACAGTAGTTAGAGAACAGAACAATGTTGTGCAGTTGGAGCAATGGAGGTCATGACCAACCAAGGACGTGTGCATGTCCTTCCCTGCGTGACACGTGGCTGGCTGTTGGGGGCCCTGTTTCCACAACAGAACACCTCAGTGGCAGAGGAGGAGGGGAAGGATGGTGGCACGGGTGGCCTGTGTCCCGGAGCAGGGTGACAGGAACAGAACTATGTGCTGCTCTCTCTCCGTTTACCAAACAAGCGTCACATGTCAGCTCTGTTTTAGTAAACAGCATGGTGGGTGGATCGAGCGGAACCCTCAGGTTTGGGATGAGGGCTGCTCTCTGATACAACCTGACTTCTTCAGAATGACCTTCATTCTGTGTGTGTGTGTGTTAAGAAATCCAGAAAATGTCTTCCTATTTGTCATTTGTCCCATCTGTCCTCTACACATCCCTCATAGCCCTCCCTTCCCAGTCAAGTGCAGCCTAGCTGAACCTCTGTGGCACCTTACAACCGTAGGTGGTTGGACAAAGACTCAGAGCATTTGACATGACCGTGTCATTTGGATGTTATCTTAAATTTTAAAAAATCATAATTTGGGAGGGGGTGCTTACATTTGTCCTGTTACACACTTGTACAAGTGTGTAATGGAAATGTGTTTATTGCATATCCCAATTCCCCTGAGACACCTGCAGGGAGTGTGGTCACGGCCATGGTCCTGTCTGGTTGTGAGGGTGATGGTGATTATGATGTTGTTATCCAAAACAAGGTAGGGACAGTAAATTGGGACTGACTGACTGACTAATCAACAAATAATAATGATTAGTTATTTATAATGCAAGGTTCTTTGTAGATCAGTCGGTCGGCAGTCACCTGCACTGTCTGCTGCCATGTCGAACAAGCCCCTTCACTCTCTCTTTCTCTGTCATTTCTTATCTCTCTTTATCTGCTCCTATTTTCTCTCCATGTTCCTCTCTGTCCTTTTCTCTCTGACAGTGCTTTATTGACATGTTCAACGTCTTAGCGGGCTGTCAGAGGGAGATCCATGGATGAGCAGCTGAGATAGAAAGACATAGAGAGGGCAGACAGGAAGGCAGGCAGGAAGACAGGAAGGCAGGAAGGCAGGCAGGAAGGCAGGCAGGCAGGAAGGCAGGAAGGACGGCAGGCAGGAAGACAGGAAGGCAGGAAGACAGGCAGGAAGGTCGGCAGGAAGACAGGCAGGAAGACAGGCAGGAAGACAGGCAGGAAGGCAGGCAGGAATGCAGGAAGGCAGGCAGGACGGCAGGAAGGCAGGCAGGAAGGAAGGCAGGAAGGCAGGCAGGAAGGCAGGCAGGACGGCAGGCAGGCAGGAAGGCAAGCAGGAAGGCAGGGAGAAAAGCAGGCAGGAAGGAAGGCAGGCAGGAAGGCAGGAAGGAAGGCAGGCAGGGCAGCAGGAAGAGGGGGTAGGCAGGAAGGACGGCAGGAAGGCAGGAAGGCAGGAAAGAAGGCAGGCAGGAAGGCAGGCAGGAAGGAAGGCAGGCAGGCAGGAAGGCAGGCAGGAAGGCAGGCAGGCAGGCAGGACGGCAGGAAGGCAGGAAGGCAGGAAGGCAGGCATGAC